GAATCAATGGGCTTCATATCAGTGTAGCCTTCAGCAGTCGATCCAGTGGGACTTCCTCGTGAGTAGATCTGTGTTCTAGGACTCCAGCTCTGGTCTGAGAATGGCGTTGGGACCAGGCTCATAATTTGCTGGGTTGTCACATAGAAATGGGAGAAGGCTAGGGGAGGGGGAGAAATAGTGGGTGCCTTCCTTGTTTCCACAAGTCTTTCCCTTCACCAGCACGACTCCAGGTCCACCTTTTTGAAGCAACCTGGCTTCATTTTTTTTCCCTTCCCCTTTTGGCTGCAACCCCACAAGCTGGAACCTGTTCCTTGGGCACCTGACAAAATCTGCAGTGATGTCAAGGAAAGGTAAGATAACTCCACCCAAGATCTTAGCTGCCTGGGAACAGGAGAAGGACAGAGAAGGAGGGGTTAAGAAACTAATTTTCAAACTTTGATGATGACGATGATGATGATAGTAACAACAACAACAACAACAAAACTACAGTAATAGTAATAATAGTAACAACAACAACAACAACAACAGTAATAATAATAATATGCCAGAGTCAAAAATAAAGAATTGGAAAAACTAACCAAAGTGCAGAGCCCTGGCCATCGAAACTTCGTGCTTGTAGATGAAACACACTTCTGTGGTCCCTGTCATTATTGCTTTGGGAACAATATCAAGAAATTTCACACAGTATTATAAGCAGTTGCAGATCTCAGAAATCACACCATCAAAGCTACAAAAAAAAGGCATTATTAGGAAGAGCACACATATTGCGCTGCTATTTAACAGATACTTAGCTTTTCAGTTAAAGCTTGTTTCTGTTATATAAGAGCAGTCAGTGTCTCCTTGAAAAGACAGTCATGCCAGGAAAAGTGGAAGGCAGTAGGAAAAGAGGAGCATTGGATGGGAGATGGATTAGCATGGTACAGGAACCACCACTTTCAGTCCGCGAGGGCCAAGCAGGGCTGTCAATGATGGGACTGTTTGGAACTCGTCAACTCATAGGGTCACCCTAGGCTGGAAGCAACTTGACAGATGCAACCTGAGGCTATAAAAAAGCAATCAATTTGACTTTCACGATTAATAGAAGGGGTTGGAAAACAGGCCCCTCGGACAGAACCGGCAGCCAGGATGGGTGGGAAGGTTTGGCGTAGGGGGGAAAGACACCTGTTTTTTCCTCCTGCCTTCTCCGTACCTCACAAAGACGACGTGATTACAGGCACCGGGTGACGTGTCCCCGGTTGCTATGAAGCCGCTGCACCCTGCAGGGACCCTCCGCCCGACCGAGCCTCCTCTGGTTGGCAGGTGTCTCCCTCCGAAGCCCAGGAGATTTTAACCCCTGCCCGCCAGGCATTGAGCCAGAGAGTCAGGTGAGGACGTGGACACCCTGTCGGGGTCTCTTGGGTGGCCCCACGTCCCCGGTGGCTTCCGTAGGCCAGATGGTCGTCTCGCATGATGCTCCCTGCAAAGTCGACTCATGAAATTTGGCTGCCGGAGGGGGAAGCTGCCAACGCATGCGCCAGAAGGCGTGTGACTCCCAAAGCCGGCCAACCTATTTTGGGGCCTCCTAGCAGCGAAAAGTATCACAATCACAAGGAACGACTAACTTGAAGCTCTTCCACGAGGCAGCTGCACCACCCTGTCCAACGGTCGGCCCAGAGGCCCACCGCGCTGTACTAGAGATGCCCTCCGGTTTTTCACTGGAAAGGTGGTGCATTTCTAACTCTCCCACCCCCCCTTACCCAACTCCTGTTTTTCCAGCTTTATTGTTTTCATAACACGGCTGTTTTTCCCAGCCCAATTCTCGCTCTCGTTTTCACCGGTTTCATCATTTTTATGACCCTGACCTAATACTGTATCGTATCAATTTTCTTTGAAAGCTCAAGGGTGAATAAATCATTTTTAGCACCTGGGGAGATGCGGGTGTGTATGTGTGGTTAGCTTTGTATTGTGAAAAAAGAAATCATAGGGCGGGGAAGGGAGGGAAGGAGGGAGGGAGGAAGGAGCTGATGCTTGAAGGAAGGAAGGAAGGAAGGAAGTCTTGTGGTCGCTTTACATAGAGGCCCTTGTGTGAGAGCAGGGCATCCGATGCCAGACCTGGCCGAGGAAAGTGGCCGCTGCCAACGGAGATTCTTCAGCTATCCAGCCGTTGGTCTCACTGGCCGCTCAAAGGACTCTGCTGCTCTCTCAAAACAAACTGAGAGCATTTTTTAAATGGACTTGACAACTGATTTCACCCTCCCCATCACAAACCATTCCTTTTAAAGGAGGCATGTTTTGCTTCTTTGAATGTGTTTAGTGGTTTGACACCAACATTCAATGTTGTTGTTGTTTTTCCTGGCGGGCTGGAGGCTGGAAGGAAGGAAGGAAGGGAGGAAGGAAGGAAGGGAGGAAGGAAGGAAGGAAGGAAGGAAGGAAGGAAAAATAATACAGATTTACTGAGTTGAAAATCTTGGAGACTGCAGCTGTGCTAAGAACAGCTTTCAAAGGGAAATTAGGAGAAAATAATAAAATTGAAAGGATGTCGGTGCTTCCGGGTGAGAAAAACAGATGGGAAATAAAAGAAAAGATGAAAGCCGGAGAAGGGAGAGGCAGAAAAAAAATAAGGGAGACAAAAAAAAAGGCTTATTGTACATGGAGGATGAGAGGGAGAGACAGACAGAAAAGGAAAAGGCAGCAGACAAGTCAGGAAAAGGTTGGGAGTTCAAATCTTCCCTGGTCCTCCTTGGCAAGGGCTGGACTCGATGACCCCTTAGAGTCCCTTCCAGCTTGGCCGTTCTAAAATGATGGTGATGAGAAGGAAATCTTTTTGGCTCAGTTAGCATTGCAACAAGTTCAGGCCATTTATCATTGTCCGCTCGAATCAATAGCTTTCGAATGATTAATAGATTTAGTTCGATGTTAATAGCCTAAATCCCAATTAAGGTGTTCTGTCTGTGGCGTTGAGCAGAACACAAGCACACATGTCTGCTATGGATCGAACCTTTTCTATTAATTGCACCTGCCATGCAAGTCCAAAATGGAAACATAATAAACTGATTAAGTGGGTTTTTTTATTGAAGTAACTCATCAGCAGAGATCTTACTAGAGCCAGCAGTGAAGTTGTGACTTCATTTGAATTGCAGTGTAGGGAGGGAGATAAAAGGCTGGGAGGCAGGGACTACAAAACCCAGCATCCCACAGCCAGCAGGGCCAGCACTCTCAAGATGGGACCTGGAGTTCAAATCCCAGAATGCCCCAGGCTCTGGGAGTTGTCGTCCACAGATTTAACATTTTCCAGGCTCTGTGTTGTCTGCTGGGCGTATCATGTTGTTCGCCTACATATAACCTAAAAACAAAGGATATAGTCCCCGGTTCTCCAAAGAGAATCCCTAACTCAAGGTGTCCTAGGGACTCCTTGCTCCTCGGCATGGGTGGGAGTGTGTAAAAATAATATTTGCATGGGGGAAAAAAAAAGTAAATGAAAGAAAAAGGTCTCTAGAAATAGCCAGGGAACTTGAAGGCGAGGGATGGCTTTGCAGCGCCACCTAGTGGCTTCCTCTGATACTCATGCTTTGCCCCAGCTGCCTGTGAACAAAGTGGATCGTTCCACAACATTCACCAACGCAAGACTACAACATTTGGGGATGTTTGTGAGAGGCCATGCAGGCAAACGGGTCTGGTTTCAGAAATTCCTAAGAGTAGGGCTGGAAGGAAAAGTCTTCCTCCTGCCGCCGCCCCCCAAAGGCTGGTGAAAGGCCGGGAGTCCCTGGGTGGTTTAATAGTCTTAAGTCAGACAACTCCCCATGTAAACAAGGGGTGGACATCTTGGGTGGCTGTTGGGCAACACTTCATAACATCCCTGCTCGTCCATGGTTTTTTGGGGGTATATGGGACTTGTAGGACGACAGAGGGCTTGTATCTGATATACAGTAAGTCACAACTCACTGGAAGATTTTATTCCCCGTGGATCTTCTGTTTCTTGTCTGCCTTCTTTTGAATACAGTCATTACCACCAGGAACCTCAGCAGAAGCAGATGAGATGGGAAACTCAACTATTCCAGCCAGCCTGCTGAAAGGCGGCTTGCTTTTTCCTCTACCCTCCTCCTCCTTTTTGCCCTTTTGTGCCGTGTCTTTTTAGATTATAAATTCATTGACAAGGACTTTCTTTTATCGATTGTATGTCACCTGCTCTGGGAGTCCTTTTCCCCCCTTTCCGAGGATCAGGATAAAGAGATTTGAAATCAATCAATCACCACTTTGGCCATCATCATCATCACGTAGATGACTCTAGCGTGGGGTGGTGTTTAGAGCATTTGACTTAGGAGGCCGTTGGTTCAAACCACACCTAGCCAGGAAGCTTAATGGTTAATCTCAGGACAGCCAGACCTACCTCATAGGGTTGTTGTGAGAGAGAAGCAAGAAGATTTTGTACCCTCATTGAGTCTACTTTTTCAGTTACATCCCTCCTCCCTTGTCTTTGCCTCTAGGAGGCGCTCCAAAGTCTTCCTGGAAAGAAGGTTTGCATCCAGAGAAGGCTGCAGCAGCCGGATGCCCGGTGGGAACTCCGAATGAAGTTCCTCGATCAGGCAAAACGTTACATCGGGGTGCCGTATGCCAAGAACTACCACGAACCTGGAAGTAAGGGACTTTTTTTTTTCTATGTCTGCATATTTCTTTCAACACAGATGAGGAAAAGAGACATCATCCCCAAACAGACAAAAGAGAGGGGAAATGGCAGAGCAGAGAGGCGGGGCTATCTCTCAATTCAGCGCTAGGGAAGGAAGGATTGGTTAGTACGATTAGTGATTGACAGCCACCCCAGCCCGGAAAGGTCCCTCCCACCCCATCCCTACTACAGGCAGCCTGCGAGGTTGCAAAAGCTCCAGGAAATCCTGCATGCAACCGGAGGTGGGATGAGATGACCTCGAGGGTCCCTTAAAATATAATAATCTGCGATGCTACTGCAGTAGGACACTAGCTTTTGCCACAGCTGCTTTGTGCTAGCGAGGATGCGCTTGGCTGTGGCGTGCCCTGAATTTTGTGACAGCCGGACTAACAAATTGATCCCAGCTTTTGTGCGGATGGCATACGAGCAAAATTAGAGGGGGGAAAACATGAATCATTCATCCTCGCCTGGCCTTTCCAAGTGAATGGGTCTCCTCATTACGATGATGGGAAGCGCCTCTGGAGGGCTGGGATCTGAATGAGCAGCGGCTTTTCAGGAGGAGCGCAGAGACTCTCCTTAAGGACAAGAAGTGGAGGAGACGAGGCTAAACCTCCGAAAGGTCAACTCTACAATATATGTTTGTTTTCAGAATTAATGTTCACAGCTGGAGCCCATGTGGGAGGAATACAAATCTCGACCCGCTCTTTTGAGGAAAACAAGGATAAAGAGATGAGGAGCCAGTTAGCCCTGGTGCGGGTGTTTCAGTGTATGCACACAGTGCGAATTAGGAACAAGGGCAGAAACTGCACAGAGAATGGAAACCTCATTTTCCTTTTTCTGGTCAGTTAGCTTTCATGCCACCAAGCCATTCGGCATTTTGCATGAAATGTCACCATTTTATAAACTGGAGAAGAACACCGCTTCCCGGAGCAGCGGAATTTGAAATGCCCCACTCTGTTGCTTTTCGCGCATTTCCGAATTTCTGTTCAGCTAAAAAAAATATTACCAACCTACAGATACAAAGAAAGGGCTTGGGTGTGGTTTTTTCCTTTGGACTACAAATCCCAGAATCCCTGATCCATTTATTGGCTGGGGAATACTGAGGGTGGTAGTACAAAGAAGAAAAATGGGAATAATTCTCAAGTTTTGTCAAGAATGGGCATCTTATGTTTGTGTGGGCCATGAACGGAAGTATGGATTTTACAATAAAATACAGCCAAAGTAAACAGTTTACAATAAAGTACTTACTCAAAGTTTTGCATACCTTCAAAATCCAGGATCTGAGGGTTCACACTACAGATGTGAATCTCACAGATCTTGAGACAGAGATTTTCACAAAATCACTGTGAACAAGAAATCATGGAGGACAACATCTTTTCTGTGTTCTCTCTATAACCCTAGGTCAAACTGTACATTATAGAGAGCACATCATTAGAAAAGGGAAGTCTGTAAGTGCTGAAAGACACTTACTGTCACAGCTGAAAATTTTCAACCTTATCCAACAGCTTGTTCTTTTTTGTTATGGGTTTTTGCAAAGGAGATATGGGCTTTGTTTTGCAATGAGTCACGTATCTCAAACATAAATTCTGCTAGATCAGTATGTTGTTTGTAATACCATAGGGGTCCTCTTATCCACAGGATCAGTATCCACTGTTTCACATATTTCTAAATGAGAGGTTACTAGAACTGGCCACTAGACGGAGTCAGATACCATGTTATATATAGCCTTCATTATAATCTGTATTTTTCAGCATCCATGGGGGTGGGGGGGCTAGGAACCGACCCCCCACAAATACAGGAGTCCGACTATGCACTCACTTTGCTTGACTCTGCAGGCCCCGAGTATGAATCTCGACTTTTCCTGGATTGTTGCGGGCTCATCCGAAGAGTGATGCAGGACTTAGCCCAAGATTTTGGCTTCTCCATTGGTCCCGGGAACCAGGCATATCAGTATGACACCCTTCCCATTACTGTTCCCACTAAGGAACACCTGCAACCAGGAGATCTCGTCTTCATTTCGGGAACATACTTTGACACCCAGCGTAAGGTCTACCACGTGATCCCCTTTCCTATCTTTCTTCCTCCTCTTTCCTCCTTCCGTTGTGATGCTTCTCCCCTGCGGAGGAGGTTCTGGCCAAACTCCAATGGCAGCCTCAATTGGAGCAGATCCGAGTCCCTATGGATGAAGTGGCTCCATTCTAGCTGTCATTAACAATTGGATTTAAACCAACAATATAAATTGGGCCTAGGAGGGTGAGGTGAACCCAGGAAGCCAAAGGAGTTGATGGAAGACCAAAGCCATCCATGAACAGAAAGATCTCCAGTTCAATCTGTATCGTGAGAACGGTGGTTAAGGTTGAACCTGAGGCAGCTGTCACGATCCTTCTCAAACCGGAACTCGGCACCCAAGCTGGAAACTTCCTCTGGTGAAAGGAATGGCTCTGTGGTGCAAAGTGTCTTCTGGGAGAGGCCCATAACTTATCAGTAGAGGACCTGTTCTTCATATGGAAGGTCCCTGTTTCAATTCCCAGTATCCCCAGTTGAAAAGGAACTTTGCTAAAAATGTGTTGGACTACATAAAACAATAGGAAGACCCAGTCTAGGGTAGTTTTCGATACTGACTTTATATTAGGGATGGTGTTTTCAGATTTCTTGGGCTAATCCCATAATTCATCATTCAAGACGCCTTGCAGACACCTAAATGTGGATCAAATGGTAGAAAAGGCCTGAACGGGAAGGCTTTGAAGTTTAACTAGGCCTAGCTCCACCCAAGCTTCCTGTTCCTGCCCCAGTGCTAGCTGGGAGCTTACTGAGCAGGAAGCTTGGGAGGAGCTAGGCCTAGCTCAGCTTCAGGTAGAACTCCCAGAATGGGGAATGATGAGATTTGTTGTCCTACAAATAAAAAAAAATCCAATTTCTATTTTTATATCTCAACTGGCAATAGCGCAGCTAAAAAAAATCTTGTAAGTAAATAAATAAACAAACTGTGGAGCACTTAATATGGAGAAGGTTGAAACGCAACGCTGAGCATCTTTAGTAGAGCTTGGAAAAGTTACTTTGACTACAACTCCCAGTCTTCCAGCTAGCACAGGTGCCCATGTGGGCTGCAGGATTCTGGAAAAGTGTCCCCATTCTTCACAAAAAAGGGCCTCAGGTAGCAAGGGCGAGGAAGATCTAACTTGAAAGTGGTGTGGTTTTCTGATGTCAATCCTGGAGCTACCAATAAGCCAAACCCTCTTCTTCTAGAGGTAGCCCAATTAATTCCAAACCGGCGTTCCACCATTTTCACTTACCACCCCCCCTTCCTTGCAGGGAAACGGCAACCCCATGATATCGTCCATGTAGAAATCTGGTTGGGGGACGGAGACCGCAGCCTCGGGGCCAGGTGGAAACGAGACACGGTCCACATCTTCGAATCCTACAAATTTGTCTCCGTCACATACGGAAACATGGAGTACCACTTCAAGTCCATTGAGACGTGGCTGAGAGGCGTCTGTACCAGGCAAGCTTCTGTCGGGAAGGGGCGCCCTTTCGGATCTCCAAAATGTGTATCCGGGAGACAGCCATGGAAATTGCCACCAAGAGCTACAACCCTAACCATTTGCAAAGCTGTTGAGTGAGGCATTGGTACATTTTGAGGTTCAGGTAGCTCATCCTGAGAGTCACATCTAGGGACCGAAAGAATACAGGCTGAATTCCTCAATTTCATCAGTTTAGGTTGCAGTTTGGACTATACCAAGAGCCACAACCCCAACCATTTGCAAAGCCGTTAAGTGGGGCATTGGTACATTTTGAGGTTCATCCTGAGAGTCATGTCTAGGGACCGAAAGAAAACAGGCTGAATTCCTCATTTTCATCAGTTTAGGTTGCAGTTTGGACTACAGATTCCATCACCCCTGAATACTGGCCGTGGTGCAGAACTGAAACAGGTTTGCAGAACAAAAGTTCTAGTGGGCAACTTAACTGACGTCATTCCTTCTTCTGTACACTGAGGGCTTTATATATCCTATTGGCTCTGTAAGCTGGCTGGATAGCTCAGTGAGTTAAGTCTCTGGCTGCAAAACCAGAGGTTGGGAGTTCGATTCCCACTGTGGTAGTAGAGCCAGCCCGGGTAGCCTTGGGCCAGCTGCACAGTCCCAGGGCGCCCTCTGGAGGAAGGGAAGGGGACACTACTTCTGAGTCTTCTCTACCTGGAAAATCATGAAAAGGATCACTGTAAGTCAGAATTGACTTCGTGGTGATGATGAGGATGAGGAGGATTGGCTGTGTTGAGGTTGGTTTTTCAGGTGGGACCAACGAGGGAAGGCAGAGCTTGGCAAAAGGACAGGGGCAAAATCCAGTTCCACATTTCGCAAAGGAAAGTCAACCACAAGGATTTTCTGAAGGTCCCCACCCTCAACAGGCGGTCCTTCTAAGTTCCTAGCCGAAATGTTATCATACACAGTGTGGGGAGGATTGGTTTTCTGTTCAGCGCCCTTCAAATCAAGGCCACAGGTCGGCATCCTTCAACCACAGTGAAAAGGACAGGACAGGCCTGGCGGCGATCCCTATAATGGCTCCAGGTTCACAGCTCTGTTCTGGGGTTATTTTATGTGTTCCGAGGCCTATAAAAGCAGGGTAGTCGTTCGGTGGACATCAGATGCCTTTATCGTTCCTCCTCACCTCTGGAAACGGTCACGGCACCCACCATTGTTTCCTGCGGCTCAATATCCTGCTGCCGCCCCCTTCTCCTTGGCCTTCATTGGAAATCAAAGGCTCATTACAATTTCAAAGGCTTCGCCTGAACTGCAGGTTGAGCTGTTCGGGGCTCACAAAAGAAGTAACAAATTATGATCTAAAAATATAGGTCCGAGGTCAGCCATTCAGAAAAGCCAGTGAACCTGAATGCCTGTGGGGGTTGGAAACGTCTACCCTCTCTTTTGTCTAGTTCGCACTCGGTGCTTTGCAACACATTTATAATAATCACCCTAGAACAGCGGAGCTGGAAGGAACCTTATAGATCATCCAGTCCAGCCCCTGTCAAAGAGGTACAGCGGGGAATTGAACTCCCAACTATTGAGGTCAGAAATAAATTCCTCATTCGTGTTAACTCGGACTGCCGTGACACCCCGAGACAAGTCACCAAGGTATTTTCAAGCCCCTTGAGATGCTTCGTCTGCAAACAAAATGAGAAAAACAGTTCTTCCTCCACTCTCCACCCCATCCAAATTCACATTTGAGAAGGTAAGGGCAAACACAGAGAGTGAGCAGGGAAGGAGTGCTGGTGGTTCAGAAAGATGCGAGCAACCTATCTCGTGCTTCACACTCTTCGACCACACTGCCGCTTTTTGGTGATTTGTCGATTCGTGCAGGGCTAACTTTTCTGGAGAATGAAGTCTACCGAAGCACATTTGTGCAAAGTGGAGAATTTTGTGCAAATTTGGTTCTTGTCAATGCAACTACACTAGGGAAAGGGTAAAGAGATTCCTCACTAAAAAGAAGAACCAATCCCCCACCAGTGAAGAGAATTGTGTTGCAGCTCTTCATTGTAGTGTACAAAAAGATGGAACAAGCAAGGATCCCTTTTAATGAGGCGCTGTATGAAGACACTCTTTTATCTGTCCTAAATCTTGTGCTGTTTCGCCTCATTGGTTGAACCAATTGAATTTTAGCATTTATGAGAGCAGGAGAAGAATTCGTTTCTGTCTGCTTCCTCCACGCCAGAGCATTAATCATTTCATACACATCTTTCTCATGCTCCCACTTATTTATTTGTTGCCACCCCGATAATGGAGGTTCTCAGGGTGACAGACCATTTAAAACCCGTCAAGCCAACAAAAACACACAATAAAAAAAAGTCGATCCGATAACAAGCTATAAAACCCAGCTACAAATAACGGAGCTGAAATTAAAAGCGGCTCAGTCGCGCTCGTAAAATTGGCACGAGGAGAACCGCAAAATCGTCTTTATGGGGCTGACGCTCATCGCTCACCATCGCGAACGGGGACATTAAGATGTTCTGACTCTCAACCAATTTATGAAAAGATCTTTAGAGGCCTGGGTTGGTTTTTTTCAAGATAGGGAAATAAAGGTTGTGGGTAGGTCCTCAGGAGGTAATAAAATAGGAGCTAAGCAAGATGTTTCTGAAGGGCCAGCCAGAGTTGAAGAGATTATACAAAGGGTGGGCATCAAAGCTAGCATAGAATCTTAGATTAACAGAGTTGGAAGGGGCCTCTAAGGCCATCTAGTCCACCCCCCTGCTCAAGGCGGGAATACAACTCAAAGGATATCTGCCAGGTGGTGGTCTAAATTTCTCTTGAAGGCCTCCAGTGTTGGAGCACTCACCACCTCTCAAGGTCATGGATTCCGTTGTCGTACTGCTCTAACAGTTAGGACGTTTTTCCTGATTTTCAACTGGAATCTGACTTCCTATAACTTGAGCCCATTGTGGCGTGTCCTGCACTCATGGATGGCTCCTTCAACCGAGTGCCTTGGCGATGACAATTCCCAGAAGGATCAGAGGCTGATAATTCCCTTTCCATCTGCTCCAGGTTTTGGTCCAAACTTTGCAGGAGTAATCCACTAAGTGGCACTTTTTTTGGGCCTTGGGCACCTTAGAGAACTCTTGTGAGTTCCAACGGAAACCCAGAGGGACATTTATTATCCACATGGACCTGGGGTCAACCACCACCATGGTTCTAGAATCTGCTCCTCCTTTCCGCCATTACAACGCCTGGTTTATCTTCCTATTGGTTCAGCCTGGATAGCAGCCAGGTGAGGAGCAACTGTCACTAGTTACTTCCAAGCAGAGCCAGACATCAAGAGTTCAATTCCGCCACGGGGCCTCCTTGATGGGGGCTGGACTTGATGATCTATAGGATCCCTTCCAGCTCTGCCGTTCAAAGATTCTTAGATTGTCGCCAGGGGCCCTTAAAAGCCCATAGCAGTGACGATACCCAAACCTACATGAACACCACACATACAGCCTTCCCCACCCATCCCTCAGCAGAAGCCAAATTTGCTCATTAAGAAACCTTGGGCAACTCCGGCAACGGTTCCTAAGCAACTGTTGCTAGGAGACCACCCCTTGTTGATAGCACCGAAGCCGGTCCCTGAGCTTTGCTTGGGCAGGGTTGCTGTCAGATCTCGGATGCTCGGAGCACCGAGGCCGAGCCGCTGGAGACGTCCCTGTCGCAGAGCAAAACACGCCGATCCTCTCAGAAGGCGACCCTGCCACAAAGCTGCCAAAGTCTGAGGCGGGCGGCTTTCTCTAGAGACTTTCCGCATGGCTCGTCTGCAAGCTAAACCTACCAACGCCTTTTTAAAGCATTTAGGGCGTGCCATGGCAAGGTTAGAAGATTTCCCCCCCCTCCCCTGTGGCTCTGCTTTCTCTTCAGGGTTGGGCTTCTCTCCCCCTCTGACTCATGGTCGGCCCTGTCATTGGGCAAAGTGAGGCGGGTTGCCTCAGGCAGTGAATTCCGGGAGGCGGCAGCAAGGTGCATCCTGCCTTCCAGGCCATGGGGAAAGGGATATTCCGCCTGATCCAGTTGGCTCTGAATGGGACAGAGACGCCACTTTGCCTGGTGCCTCTGTGAGCAACAAATTTCCCCTCCTTCGTGGTTATTACTAACCACCGTCTGCGGCTCTGTCTTCCTCAGATGGCGTTCTGGCCAGTGTGTGCTTTTATCATAAGAACTGATCAGATAGGAGAAACTGATATTTTTTAAGAAGAACAGAAGCTGAGTCTGGTTTAGTTCTCTAAGAAGCTCAGAGAAAACTTGAGTCAAATCAAATTTAAATAGACATATATACTTCCAATGACTTGAGTCGTTTTCCCTCTCGCAATGGGATTTCTTCAGAGACCAACCTCAACCCTCAGAGTTGTTGGCTAAGCCCTTCCAGTCACCTTCTCCCCCCAAAAAAACACACACTAAATGCAAGGTTCAGAGGTGAGGAAAAGCATGTACTATGATAAATAGGCATTTTTGGCCACTAGAGTGAGCTGAATATATTGTTGACTCTCACGCTAGAGAGTTGAGAGGTGTGACAGTGCTTGAATTAACCCAGGGATCCTCTCTGATTGTCTTCCCAGCCATTGTCCAGAACACAAATGGGCCTCGGCAAGAGAGCTTCCTGGAAAGAGGTCCATCTTCCACCCCCGGAGTGATCGAGATGAACCTGCTGAAGATGATGTAGGTGCTCAAGGCAGAACATCTTGGTCACAAGTGGGAGACGAAAAGATGGCTCTCCAGGTGGAGTCCTTGGTGGAATCCATTAGTAATTGTGAGCTGAGCAATTGCAAACCGATGGAGGCCCTGGATCTGCAAGACGTTTGCAGAGTAGGACCAAGGTTATCTGGGATGGACCTCATGGAACAAGATCAGGTTCTAGAGGCTGGGCAAAGCCAGCTGGCTTCTCCAGAAAGCCACCCTCTGGAGAGTTCAAGTACAAATATGGGACATGGCAGCCGTTCCTTGGAAGCGGGCCAAGCCCAGGAAGAAGAAGGGTTTAAGGAGAGGACCATGGAGACCCAAACTCATGGGCAGGAAGCCTGTGAGAGACCAGGACTCATTCAAGACTCTCTCGGCAATGAGCCCAAGAAGTCCACCTTGAAAGCCAACTCTAGAGGGGTCTTAAGATGTGGTGGGAAGAAGCAGAAAAAGAAAAACCAGCCAGGAACTCAAAGAAATCCTTCACACTTTGGCGGGCCGGTATCAGGTGACTCTCAGAGCTTCCGTTCCTAAAAGTGAATGGCAAGGCAGTTTTGCTTCAGGGCATGGGTGGCATATACAGTATGTAATTTGGCAATTCCTGTAAAATTCCTTCATGCTACGCAGTAGATGTACAGAGACTCACAGGTGACATTCACTTCAAGTTCCTCAGATAGTCCACCCCTTTCTCATTCACTGGCATTCAAAGTCTCAATAATTCATTCTGAGACATTTGTAGGAGAAAGAATAAAAAAAATGTCCAATTACTTACAGTTGCGAACAGGTCAACAGCTAACAAACAACAGCTCTCAACAGCCTCAGGGGAGGGGAAAATACACTCAGCAGATAGGCAGGGCTCTCTTTTAATTCAGACGTGGGAGGGAATTATTCATTAGAGCTGGATAGATGGTCAGTCACTTCCGCCCAGATAAGTCCCTCCCAGCCACTCAGACCACAAACAGCATGCGAGGTTGTAAAAACGTCAGCAAAAGGTTGCTTCTTTGAACTACATCTCCTATAATCCTGGATCTCGATGGCTGCAGGATTTAGGGTATGGTGGTCCCCAACTCCTGATATTTTCCCATCTATAGTTCAGTCCTATTTTCTGTCTCAGAAGCCAGAATGACCAGTAAGCCACCATAGCTGTCGTGTTCTGTGGCAGACAGGCCAGGAAACGGGCTCTGTGGACTACATTTCCCATGATGCATCCCCATTGCCAAAACAGGTCAGGGTCTTCTGGGTGGTTCATACAAAAAACATCCTGTATGAAAACCAATCTTTATTTTTAACGGGATCTGTTCTGCACTGTATCTTCTCTATACCAGGTTGAGGCTGAAAAGCAACCGAAGCCCCATATTTCTGCCTGCCAAGATTTTCATAAAATTAAAACCGTCCTTGTGAGACTTATAAAAAGAGAAAATTAGGAATCTGGAAAGAAATATAAAACCGGGGGCCCATTAGCAAGCCATTTGGCTGAAGGCAAAGCTAGTAGCTTCATTAATAGGGCAATTTAGCTGGTGGTGGTGGGGGTGCCAAGAAGGGGAGAAAAGGGGAAACCAGCAAATATTTGTATGCTATAAAATGTTCCCATGCCTTCCCCCTCAATCCGTTATTTTATTTTTCTGGCGGCGGAAATATTGGCTCTTAATTGCCCTATTACAGCCCTGATCATAATAAAATTGATGCCGGTTGATTGTGAAAGCGGGAGGCGGTGAGACGGACCGAACAATATTGGAATAAAGAAATGGCACCTGGAATGAGGGTGAACTGGAAACAAATGTGCATTCGGAGCTGGGGCACACTAAAACCTGACCAGGGATTCTCTAATAGGGATGGGATTATTTTATGCCTCGGGCTACAAATCCCATAATCCCCCAATTCTGGGAGTTCCGCCTGGTTTATAGATACTTTACAGGCACCTAAATGTGGCTCGCCTGGGAGAAACGGCCCCAGTGAGAAGGCTTTGAGGCCTAGCTAGGCCTAGCTCCACTCAGCTTCCTGTTCAGAGAGGAAGCTCCCAGACAGCACTGGGGCAGGAACAGGAAGCTTGGGCAGAGTTAGGCCCAGCTAAGCCTCAAAGCCTTCCAATTCAGTCCTTTTTCTCCCAGGTGTGCCACACTTCAGGGTCTGTAAGGTGCAAGTCAAGTAGAACTCCAAGAATTATGGGGTTTGTAGTCCAAGAAATGAAAAAGCTTTATCCCTCCTCTCTAGCCTAGCAATGCTGCCTACTAAGGCAAAGGATTCGAACTCAGAATCCGAACCTGGATCTTCTGTGTGCTGCACAGATGCCCTGCCGCTGAGCTATGACTCTTCTCCGAAGCCTCCTTAAACCGGGTCAAAAACTTGGAGGTTGGAAACAATGTGTTAAATTGAGCACCCTAATTGCTAAGAGTTGTATTAAACATGATGAGAATGTAACTGTTGCTTCTGGTCTACCAAACAATGTTTTGAAAGTGACTTTTTAATGCTACAGTTTTCTTTTTGAAACTTCTTTTCCTCCCAGCATTGTTTAAATGTTAATTGAAAGTAATGTTTTAAAATTAACTTGGCCCGGCTTGGGAGCAGCATCTCCGTTTCACTTCCAACCAAACACTGAACTGCTGCTGGATAGCTTCGTGGTTGAAGTCTCTGTCTGTGGAGCCAGAGGTTGGGAGTTTGATTCCCCCACTGGGCCTCCTTGACAGGGGGTGGACTGGATGATCTATCGGGTCCCTTCCAGCTCTGCCGTTCTAAGATTTTGTGACAAAAACAAATTCCGGGTCTCTAACAGCCAGACTCGGGCCATAAAGGTACTGTATGTTCAATACTTGGTGATGAAGATAAGAAACCAAAAGATTCACCCGTGTGGACGAGCAGTCTTCCACAGGCAAATCTCCTCGCGGGAAGCTTCTCTTTTGATCTCCTGGTGTCTTTCTGCATATTCTAAGTGGAGACAAGTCCAGAAATTTAAAGGCACCAGGCGGCCATCAAGGCCTCTCACTCACCTTTGCTCAATATTCCGTGCTTTATAGGTCTTTTTAAAAACAAAAACAAGCTGTACTGTGTAAAGTGCTCTATAAGTAACACACGTACATCAACAAATAATAAGAACAGACCCAGAAGGGTTGAATCAGACCCAATCTGTGACTCATCCCAGTATCATGTTTCCCAGAAGCCTATGGAAACCACCAGCAAGTTAAACTGCTTTTGGCTAGGGAGGTTCTACAAAACCATCATAAGACTAATAGCTGCTGACACTTATCCATTAACACATCTAATAGTTTATTGATTTTATAATGTAAAAATCACTGTTTTACCTGTTTTCTCCTTCCCTCTCTCTTTCCTTCCATTCCGGTGGGTTAACCCTAACCCTAACCTTAATCTTAACCCTAACTTTAACCTATCTCTCTTTTTCTTTCTTTCTTTCTTTCTTTCTTTCTTTCTTTCTTTCTTTCTTAAGCCTCCTCAAGGCAAAATGTTAAAACCAATCAGATGCAAATGCAAGGAAACACAGCAGCAGCACGAGAACTTTGAAAGCCACCGCAGCAAATTCAAATATACAAAAATGCAACTGGGTGTCCATTTAGAACAAAGTTAAGGCGGCACTGTCCAGGTTCTCAGAGCCCATTAGAAAAATGGTACAAGGATAACTGAAAAATAAAAATTAAAGTAGTCAAAAACGTGGTGGTACCTTAAAGACTAACTGCTATATTTTAATGTGAGCTTTCAGGGATGAATCTGAGGAAGTGGACTTGCCCACAAAAGCTGAACATTAAAATATAGCAGTTAGTCCTTAAGATTTTACAATGTTTTTGTTTTCTTCAGTGTTTCTTTTTCTTGTTAGTCCTTAAGATTTTACAACGTTTTTGTTTTCTTCAGTGTTTCTTTTTCTTTTGTTTTTGCCTGAAATGAAAACCAAAAAACCTGACCGAGTTTACTGGGTAAATCCAAGATCCCGTGTACAGAGAAATGCCTCCTGCTTTCTCTCTCTCTAACTCAACTTTTTCTGAGCCCTGCTTCTATATATATATTCCTCCGTCTTTTGTGTCCGCTGTCCTGTACATTTCCACCTTCTCGTAAAAGGAGCCTTATTCAGTGGTTATTATGCTTAATTATCACCCCGATTTGCCTCTCCGGAACCAAAGGGGATTTTAGAACCGTCAGCAAGGCCTTCCCGGCATCGAGTGAAGCAAGGCGACGAGGAACTTGTGAAGCCTGCGAGGACGGGATTAAAAATCAGTTCATACGCTTCTTCATCCACATAATGAAAAGGAAGTGAGATGTTTCAACCACGAACGTGGGAGGAAGTGAAACCGGTTGACGCACTGACTGCCTGGTATAGTCTGAAGAGGCAAACAGGGTCCCTGAACTCAAAGTGATGGCCACTGCAAAGAGAATGGAAAATTGCTTTAAATAAATATATATCTATTTACTGCTTGAGCAGGGCTCCATTTGAAGGTTCATCTCCGGGGTCCAAACATCAATCTCGCCTCTCCTGTCCGGCCAGGCCAGGCTGAAAGCATTGGTCTGTGGCCTTCAATCTCCTCAGACACACCAGGCGAACAGATTTATGCCCCTGGCGATCACCGTACTGGCTGGCGAGGAGCCTTGAAAATAAATCAAAAACGGTCCTGAATGTTTGCATCTCCCTTACCTGCACCAGAGACTCGTCTGCCCACCGCTTGGTGGAGGGTTCGCTTTTCGGAGGAGAATTTAGCCGGAGGAGTGTTCCTGACCGGCTCCCGAAGTAGGCCACTCGCTGGTGCTGGTCTTACCTACTACTGTCTAAAATATGGCAGTGGTGGCTGATGGGTTCATGAGTCCTGCCTTCTGAAGGGCCTTGGACAAGCTTCAAGGACCCAGAATAGCCCCAGAAAAAGAGACCAGAAAACTATTTGGGAGTCATTTATACCTAGAAAACCAGAGGGGGATCCCTTTAATTGGAACCAACTTAGGATGTAATGATTAAAGGCATCATCCCACACTAATGTTTGATTTTACTCAAGGGCCACACACCTACTCTCCCTCCCCCATTACTATGGAATTGGCTGCCAAAATATGCATATTTTTTCTATGGAAATCAGGTTTTTTTTTAATTTGATATTTTCAGCAACGGATAAGTAAATCTGTAGATGCTGATCCGGCCGATAGGGAGGGTCCTACTTTATGTGAAGTTGTCGGGGGGGGGGAATGAGATTTCCTAACCCTCTCTAGCCTCCTGACCATGGTATGCAGAGGATGCTTGAGGTCCCCGATGAATTGAATGATTTACGGAAGAGAAAAATAGGAATCTCCTCTCACTGGATAGAGGTACCTTCCATCAGCTGTGCCCTTCTGCTAACAGGAGGCGTGTCTTGAACTCAGAGCTCTCTGCCTGAATGGACAGATCTGTCAGCTTCAGTTCCTCCTAGACATACGGCCACTTTGTAAACCTCAAGTTCTTTCCACTGAGTTTATGAAGGAACATAGAGCTTTAGAGGATTTCTTATTCAAGAAGATGAGAAGTCAGGACTGTCACCAACTCTGACTGGCAGCTACTCTGAAAGGTCTCTGACAGATCTGGTGGGAGATACCTTTCCCCCATCACCTGCAACCTGTTCCTTCTACCTGAGGATGTCAGGATTTGAACTGGACATCTAGGATGCAAAGCCAGGGTGAGCTACAGATCTTTCCCACCTTGAGTCAGAGAGGGGAAAATTCTGGTGGGGGCTGCCTGCCTGAGTCCAGAGTCAAAAGGTGACATCACAGATGCCCCATTGTGATCAGGGCCATGCGTCAGCTTCCGGAGGAGATGGCTTCTGGGTGGGGAGGAGACTTACCACCGGCTCCCCAGGAACAAAACGTTGGCAGGAAGAAGCTGTTTGGCGTCCCACCCTTCTTGACTCTCCAGAGACCATCATGCATTCCAGGTGGGCCCGTCTCTCTTGAAAGGAACCAAGGCATTCAAAGGCTCTGCGAGGAAATTTAAAATTCGTAGGGAATTCACCGAGGAAGACCAGTTAGAACTTGGGAAAGTGAGCATTTTTGGGGCCTACAAATCCCAGAATCCTCCACCAGTCACGTTGGCAGCAAAGGTTCTGGAGAGTGTAGGCCAAGAAAAGTAACTTCCCAAGATCTAAGTCAGGCATCCGATTGTCCAAGTTCAGTCTTGCTTGCTTCTGTCGGTCATGGCTGTCCAGGGTTGTGCGAGCTGGTGGTGGAATTCGGAGAGCAATACCAGGTCTCGCACTCGCGTCCCCATGGGAATTCTACACCCATAAATGAATAGCTGAGGGAGAAAGCAACATCCTATTCTGGGGCGGTCACCTCAAGAGCCTTTTAAAAATTAAGAGAAGAGGATGATTTTTTTAAAAAACTCGCTTTCTGCCAGGCAGGCCTCGTTAAAAGTGCAGCCTTGCTCTCGAATGCAGAGAGTGTTCATTAATTAAATGGCAAGAGGCAGTCAGAAGTACTAACGAGGCTCAAGTGGAGATAGAGGGAGAGGGTAGTTGCTCTTAGCAAGCCAAGGTTTCTTCGCAAAAGCTTTGATTAAAGAAGGAGATGAATGGGCTGGAAAGGAAGCTGCTCAAAATCGTGAATTTTTCAAGGGTTCCATTTTGACAGATAAACCCGGAGCTGGAGTCGCACTCAGGCCCAACCTCATGGGTTCTTCACCTCCGAATCACCTTTGGTCAGCCCCCTGACCCAACAATGTTCTACCATTTCCCATAAGTTCAGAAGGGGTAAAGAAAAGATACCCCTTCTGAAATTCAGAAAGTTACTTTTTAAAAAACTCTATAGTACCCCAAATCTCCTCGAGAGAATGGAAGTCATGGTCTTATAAGGTACCATTCTCAGATTTTGTCTCAAAACAAAGACGTTTTATCCAGGAGCGGAAGAAATATATTCGCTCATTCCTGTACATACCTTGTTCCTCTTTTACCACCTCGCTCTGGTTCTCATAGACGTGCCTTGGTTTATAGGATGGATGGATGAAAGGCCTTTAGGAGCCAGTGAGAAAGCTTCTGCCCTTCGCTTAGGCTTCTGTTGGTACCCATATTACTACAAACCAGGGAAGACGCACAAGGGGACGACCACAGAAGGCAGAAGTAGAAGAAACAACAACTCAAGGATTAGAAGCGCGCCATCTAATAAGCAAGGAGGTGAGCCTTCGCTATGGGTCTAGAGTAGCAGAGGTTTGCTGTTTCTGACATCCTCACACGTTGGGTTGAATTTGGGTCAAGTGGCTCATTCAACCTGTGGAAGCATGCAGGACACCCTCAACCCCATGAAAGCAGCTGGACCTGCTTGAAACATCTCCTCACATTGCCTGATATTTCTTTACTTTCCTCATTCCAGTGTGTCCTTACCTGCAAAAACAACATCAAAAACTCCCTGCAGCACAAAAAGCCAGCATCGCAGGGTTTCTTCACAATGCTAGATTTCTACATGCAAAGCTCTTCCTTCCTTCCTTCCTTCCTTCCTTCCTTCCTTCCTTCCTTCCTTCCTTCCTATAATTCGCTGGATGGTAGTGGTATCTCGCTAGACGACGACCTCATAAAACGACAAATCCGCATGACGATGAGGTCCGGATGGTACAGTGGTACCTCGCTAGATGACCTCGTAAAACGACGGATCCGCATGACGATGAGGTTTTGCTATTGCTATAGCGATTCACAAAATAGTGATTCTAATGGAGGATTTTCACTGGATGATTATTTGGTCCATGCTTCATGGACCGTTTGTTCGCAAGACGGCAATTTTTACAGCTGATCGGCAGCTTTGCAAAATGGCTTCCCTGTGTTTTCGGGACCCATGCTTCGCAGGACAGCCATTTTAACAGCTGATCGGCGCTTGCAAAATGGCTTCCCTATGGGCAATCTTCGCAGGACGACGATGTATTTTCCCCATTGGAATGCATTAAATGGGTTTCAGTGCATTCCAATGGGGAAACAGTTTTCGCATGACGATGATTTCGCTAAACAGCGATTTCTATGGAACGGATTATCATCGCCATGTGGGGCACCATTGTAGAATTGAAAGACGAACTTTAATTAGAACACATTGTTTCACTCCCATATAGATTCCAAGGGTGGTGCAAATAGGAGAGACAACAAATATCTGAGGATGTCTGAAAACGACGAGCTTGAAGACGCGCAGATCCAAAAGCCAAATAGTACGAAATTCTTCATTGCTGTTTCTCCTCCCCTCTCTCATGGCATTGATCCTCCCGTTGCCTCAACTTGCTTGCTTTTAAATGCATATCCTTAATGTGTGTGTTTTGTATGCATTTTTCCTCTATCGGCAAAAGTGGGTTTCTTTGCATTGTTTGAAGATACGCTTTTGGCCTCCTTGTGTGCATTTATTTGCATACATCTTGAAAAACTATAAAGCATCAACTGCAAGCTTCCCAGTGATAGGAGAACTGAAAATTATGTGTGCGTGCTTTTGGTAATAGTCTCGAGGAGCGTGGATTGCATAAATTTGTTCCATGTTTCAAGTCCATGCAAATTTATTTTCTTTTTCACTTGACACATCATCTAGCTTTGGAAGAGAGCAATATAAAGCTGGGAGACCCTAAGCAATTTGGTGTACTTTGGGGCTTTGGTGTCCCATCATCTCTTGCCCAAATGGTCAAGGGTCAGAGATGATGGGCATTTTTGTCCAAGATATTTGGAAGGCACCAAGTTACCTAACCCTGATCAAGAGGTCAATTGCTTTAAAGTAGAGGCTTTCAAACACTCTGCCAAATTTTAGGGACAGCTCTGCTAAATCTTGAGCTCTTTTGAGTGTGTCAGCACTGTGCTGATTTCCAAAGTTAGACCAATCAATTTAATGATATTTTTAAGGATGTTTATTACAGTGGTGCTCCTGGATCACTATGAAGGGTCAAACTACACATTACATGTTATCTCAACAGAAATAATGTCAATGCTCCAGGAGATCTTTATGTCTAAGTAAACAAGCTAAGTTACAAACTACAAGAGGTGATCAACGTTTCTGTTATGCCTATGTTGCTCTCAGCACAAGAAATGCCCTCTTAAGGAAGTGCTCTGTGTAATGTGTAGTTTGACCCTAAATTGGACACTGGGTCCCACTGGGGCCACTTGCACCCTCGTGTTCCATGCAGTCCCATCTTCCAGGAGCAAGTATTTCTATTTCGGTTTCCCCTCACATGGAACCTGGCATCTGTAGCAGCCAATTGGCTCCTTGGGCCAATTAGCAACTGTAAGGAGCTGGTTTTCTCATCTTTGGGGTCATATAATTGCTCCGACCTCTTTTCCATCTAATTAAGTGGCATAAATACATTTCCTGGTCTCGGATAAAGCACAATCCATCTCTCTTCCTCTCTCTTGTGTGCTGCTGAAACTTGGTCAGCTTGAATGTTGGCTGGGATCTGGACTTCTTGTGAGTCACAGTGGATGGCATAAACCACTTAGGGGGGGAGCCCTCCATTGATCACCCAAATCCATCATGTTGAACATACAAATCCAGTGTCTGCCCAAGATATTTGGCTGACAGACTGAGCAGCAAAGACAGCCTCCCCACATCTTGTTCCCAAAGCACTACCACCTTCACCATCAGAGTCCAGAAACCTTCCCCAAAAACACTTGACCTCTTTTTTTTTCATTCCAGGCATTCCTGACTTGGCTGAAGGGGAGCCAATAAGTGAAACCAAGTCAAAGGGGCCCAAAAATGCCCCCAAACCACCTCCCCGAGGGAATCTTCCAGAAGAAAAAAAGCCAGAAGAATCGGGGCCTTTCTTTTACATCGGAGGAGCTAATGGAGTAGAGATGTAAGGAGGCAGTTGGGTCTTATTTCACAAGGACGGAGTGTATCCCCCTCAGAGTTTCGATCCGAACTTTATAGGAGTGATCAAAGGTGAACCAAGTTTCAGCACTCTGGAAAAGCTCCAGGAAAGTTCGGGCAAAAGCTTGGGTCCATTCCCAACCCACGTTGAGGAGGACCTCAAAAGGAAGACCTCCTGATTCAGAGAGGTTGAGGTGCATTGGATGGTCTTTTGGGACTGGAGCCAGAGGAGGGGAGGAGAAGGGAGGGAGGGGGAACTTAAGAACATCAGAAGAGCCCTGCAGGATCAGGCCAAGGGCCCATCTAGTCCTGCTTCCTGTATCTCACAGTAGCCCCACCAGATGCTTCTTGGAGCACACGAGACAATAAGAGACCTGTCTCCTGATCCCCCTCCCCTGCACCTGGAGGGAGGGAGGAAGGAAGGAAAGGCTCCACGTGGTGGAGGATGCTGAAGGAAAGGTTTGTGAAGGATGTGGAGACACTGGGTTGCCAAAATAACCTGCTGGCCACATGTTGGCCACCACTGCCACAGAGACTCCAGACCAAGGGGGGGGCATTCGCCGATCATTTTAGGGTGCCAAGTCATAGAAAGAAGGCTCTCTTTCTTTGCCCGACGGTCCCTAGAAGGAGCGGTTCTCTGTTCCTCCCTCCCTTCCTCCCAAGCGAGAAGGACGGCTTGGCCCCTTCCCGTTTCTTCAGCGGAAAGCCAAGGCCCCGTCCCTCCTTAGGGTGAGGTTTGCAACCTGACTGTGCGGTGATGGAAGGGAGCTTTTTAGGGATTTCATGAAGCCTTGGCTAACGGGCGAGGCTCATGGTGCCATGTTTTGAAAAAAAAAAACCAAGGTGCACGCATCGCGATGCCAATCGATGAGGGAGGTCTTTGTCTTCTCTCTGTGCAGACTGAACATCTACGGCAAGAACAGGGGCTGGCAGCGTATCTATGACAACCGGCGGGAGGATTATATCCTGAAATGGTGCGAAACGAAGTTTCGGGACACCTATTACAACTTCAGGGAAGGTATGAGGGCCGACCGAAGGGGGGGGCGCAATAGACAGCCATCCTTAGGCAGACTTCTCTGTGTGTGAACCGCACACCTTCGTTTCTCTCCGTTTTGTGGCAATTTTAAAAAGAGCTCTTCCCAGTGGTTTCCACTCATGATTTGTTTGCCAATTTGTGTAAAACATTTGTACTTTGCCTTTCTCTTTTTTAAAAAAAGGGACCGAGAGGGCTTGTATCGTTAAAAGACAATATTTAAAGCTAAAAACGGTAAGATTACAAAGACTAAGATGGATCAAGTCAATACACACATGAAAAAATGGTAAACAGAAGCAACATGAAGAAAACCTATTCAAAGCAGGAAGATGCAGCCATCCCTTTAAAAGCCCCAGTCACTGAGGGAAAGCTTCCCTGAGGAGAAAGGTCTTCGCCTGCTTGCGGAAGGACAGCAAAGATGGGGCCAGGCTGTTTTCCAGTGGGAGGGAGTTCCAGAGTCTAGGAGCAGCCACAGAGAAGGCTGTCCTCTGTTTCCCCAGTGAAGGTGGTTGGATCAAGAGAAAGGCCTCTCCTGGTGATCGTCCCCACTGAACACACAAGTGAAGGTGGTTGGATCAAGAGAAAGGCATCTCCTGGTGATCTCAACACCCAGGCAGACTCATAATGGGAGATGTGGTCCTTGACGTAGTTTGGACCCAAGGCACTGAGGGCTTTATAGGTTAGAACCAGCCCATTGAATTGTGCCAGGGAATGGACTGACAGCCAGTGGAGCTGCTGTAACAAAGGGGTTCTGTGATCCCTCTGTCGGACCCCAGTTAGCAATTTGGCTTCCGTGTTTGGAACCCCTCCCAAACTCTACTTCAGAAGTAGTCTGGGAAGGAAATACTATGAGGATAACAGGCTTAATTTGCTCACCAGGAAGTTTAAGGTGCAACGCTTCTAGACGTGAAGGATAGGCCACCTTCACGCCATGGTCCAAGGGATGCTCAAATGTACTCACAACGCTTTCCCACTCTTTGGCAAGGCTCCTGCTGTGTCCCCGACTACAGTCTTCTGTGACTGTGGAGAAATTCAATCCATGCACCACTTATATGTAGGCAATTCATGCCCGATCACATGCACCAAAGAAGATGGAACAAATGGCCGAGATGACACTGTTGAATTAAATAGTCTATTTAACATCACATTTTAATTTGTTTTGAATTTTCCCTGTATTTCATATCCTTCCATAATTTTAAATTGTGCCACACACTAATTTGACTGAAGGAAGACTTTATATTATCCTACAGTACTTGACTTCTGGAGAACAAAATGGCGGCCACCAGCCTGTGGCCACCATTTTGTTTCCATTTGCCAAGACCTCTATGCTGGGTTATTGTTCCTTTTCTCGGGGGGGGGGGAAGTAACTGAAGTTCCTTCTCCACTGCCCCAAATTTTGCTACCTGTGAAAGGAGTCTACAAAATAGCAGAGACTTAATTTAATTCTCAAGCTTAGGGAAGAGGTATTGCCACATCTGTTTCTCTTTCATTTTTGAATCTCTAAAATCGCGTGTTCCTTCCACGCCATTTAGGAAGAAGGATATTTTTTTGTTCTTGTAAGTTCTATGACGCGGGTGAAATCCTCCATTTCCTCCCAGGAGAACAGCTGCTTTATCAGATCCCGAACAACAAAATCCTCACCACCAAGATTGGCCTTTTGATGAATCTCAGAGAGTACGAGCGAGTGATGAGGAAGATCAACAGAAACACAAAGTGAGCCCCACGTGGAGTGGTCCAGCCTCCTCTTTATCCTCTCCCACCTTTCTTGATGTATGGATCCATTTAGAACATGGATGGAGTTTTAAGGCCAATTTTATGAACCCGGGAACCTCTGTGGGGGCCGCAGAACGAGGAGCTGTGGTCTGTGGAATCATAGAAACCAATTCTGGGTTGGAATTCCACTTCCATGTGGTCCCCAACCTTGGGCCTCCAGATGTTCTTGGACTACAACTCCCAGAAGCCTTCACCACCACTTCTGCTGCCCATGATTTCTGGAGATTGAAGTCTAAGAACATCTGGAGCCCAAGGTTGGGGAACCACTGCTGTAGGACAGTGGTTCCCAACCTTGGGTAGGCCAGATGTTCTTGGACTACATCTCCCAGACATCCTGGCCAGGACAGCTTGTGGTGGCCACTTCTGGGAGCAGCCGTCCAAGAACACTTGGGGGTCCCAAGGTTGGGGAGCCATTGCTTTTGGATAGTTCTCAAGTCCTCAGGGCTTTGAGGAACGGATTTGGAGCATGCTGGAGTAACAGAAGCCCGAGAAGTAATTGTGTGAGACTTCCAGTTGTCCGAGATTAGGAGAGGAAGGAGAACGGATCTTCAGAAGCCTAAACAGTAGTTGTACCTTTTAAATGTTATAATTATATGAATAAATGATAGGGTTGAGTTGAAACACTCATATGTCTCATGTCAACCTCATAGTGCCTTGTGGGATAAGAAGACCACTTTAGTGGTTTGGGAGAGGGGCTCAGACCAGTGAAATGTATACCCAAATTAAGAATCTTGATTCATTTCGTGACAGGTGAGCCTCTAGGACAAAGCAGAACCTCCTTAGTACATGTTTATATATGCATCTTTCCCCTTGTCAGCCTGCAATATGATAAAGGAAACATGCCCTCACTCTGAATTGACTCTGTTGTCCTTAATAATATCATCACCACTGACATTACATTTGTAATGTCTGGTTTTCCACTTGACATGTGGAAAACAATCAGGGATCTGCAACGTGGTCCCTGATTGGCTTGGATCAAGTTATAGACAAGGGACATGCATGTGAAAAAGAAGAGGGCTGAAATAACCGTTAGAATGAGAGGGTCAATAATTTTAAAAGATGTATCCAAGCTGGAATTATTCACCGGAGTGCAGCTCAGTGTGGTTCCAAAAAATTATCAAACATCAAAATATATATATATATATTGTAGCATTAGGCAAAAGAGCAGGAAATATGCAAATTATCCCAATTTAGAAAAATGTGAGTCAGCTGCAAGATCCTCTCTGTTTGTCAGTAACTGCATGCCAGGGGATGAGTGGCGTTTCTTGATGACACTTAAAGGAAGCAGAGGAACAGAGTTTTGTGAAAACCTTGATTTTGGAAAGGAGATACAACCTTGTTCCCGTAGCAGTTGATAACAATATCTTAGAGTTAATTTTTACGAAAAGCAAATAGACAGCAAAGCTCAAGAACAAAAAATTGACAAAATTTGCTCTTCAAAAAAATCTGAATCAGATGCTGTCAGAGTACTGTATCAAATTCTACCTTTCAGTCATCTGACATTGTGAGATCATGATCACAATAGGATCGCTGATTAGGTGGTATGTCATAGGAATGGAAGGACCACTCAAGGATTCAAAGAGGCTATGAACTGCTTCCACTGAACTATATTGTCTTCATGGTGATGTGAGTCAATGAGGAAGATCCCTCAGTGGTGTCTGACCCTTAACCCTTGATGAGCCATTCCATACATGTGGCTTGCTCTTTGATGGCGTTTCCTATCCTTACGTGAAGAAAATGCATGTCTGAATGCATTGTTACCCTGAGTTTTTTTGCAGAATGCTGAGATTGGAAGACTTTTTCCCCGAGACTTTCCGCCTGGACACGAAAGATGAGAGAGAAATCTTCTTTGAAATATATAGAGGTGATCAATGGGAATTATTAGCTTTCCTCTGTTCATGCATTATACATCTACAAGTGGGATCCGATAGTCAGCCAATCAGCCATCTGGATGATACTGGATTTTGTTCACTTTCCATTTTTCACTTTTCCCCCTCACTAGCTCATATACACAGCAAACAAATTAAAACAGGCTGGTTGATCAAAAAGACACAAGTAACCCATCCAGGGCTTGTGCATGTGATAGTTTGTGCAAAGAGACAACCCTTAACCATATTTTCCCATAATGCACATTTTCCAGAAATGCTCAAAATCAGTCCCACAAAGGCAATATATATATAGAAACATTTATTGATTTATGTACTGTATTTGCTTAAACTTGTAAACCCCCTCCCCCATTTACTCTACATTCTTTTGCATCAAAATATTGCAGGCTATGGATTTGTGACCAAGACTTTGTCTTCCACACGACGCACCTTTTTATTTTGAAAAATAGCACTTTGGCATTTTCCCCGCAAAAAAAAGTTCTGGTCTTTGTGTTCTCACAAAGGAATGAAAAATCTCACAGCAGGTGCCTATTTTTGGATTGTATCAAGGAAGGAAAAAAAAGAATCACAGCTATTTCTTACCTTCTCAGCAGAATTATCTGCATTAAAAGCTCAGTTTACGCGGAGCAGTGAGTGACATCTCTCCTCTCCTCTCCCAGAGCCGCAGATCTGGATCTGCAAGCCCACGAGCTCCAACCAAGGCCGAGGGATCTTCCTCCTGAAAAATGAAGCGGAGGTCAACAGCTTACAAGTCAAGCTCCACAATGTCGAGGAAGACCCAATGTACCAGAAACTGCCCTACAAAACGCCCCCAGCCAGAATTGTGCAAAGGTAGGAAGAATCCAGTAAGGAGGATGGTCTCTTGCAAAATTGACCTCCAAGCAGGTCTGTTCATTACTGGCCCTCTTCAGTTCTTGCACACTCCCAAGTTGTGGCTTCCTTTAAGGAGTCCATCCATCTCATGTTTTGGTGTTCCTCTTATTCTGCTGCCTTCCCGAGCCTTCCAAACCCTCTGGTGCATGATTTTATAGGAATCCAAGTTGTGGTTTCCTTTAATGAGTCCATCCATCTCATGTTTTGGTGTTCCTCTTATTCTGCTGCCTTCCCGAGCCTTCCAAACCCTCTGGTGCATGATTTTATAGGAATCCTCGAGCCTTCCAAACCTCATCCCTCTGGTGCATGATTTTATAGGAATCCTCACGAGAGAGGCTCTGGCCTGTGCTTCTGGACTACAGCACTCATGCTGCACAGGGAGTTCTGGGAGTTGTAGTCCAAAACCACCAATCTGCCCATCTTGAGCTCATTGGCCAGGGATTTCAGGTGGCCCTGAACCAACTTTCTGAGTGTGGCTCATTTTTTAAAAAATTTATATGCATACTCCCATTTCCTTCAAGAACCGCCAGACCATATATGGCGGTGATCCACCCAACCGTCCCTGTAAGGTAGGCCAGGCTGAGAGTCTTCAAAATATTGGCGTCTGTGGGGTGACGCTCCAGTCATTCCACCCTAGTTATAACCCTTCCAAGGGTCCTTCTGGGGCCGGGCCGGGCCCAGTCTTTTGTTCCTTCACCATGGCCAACGGCTAGCATCTTGACGGTAAGATGGAGTCGCTCATCGGAGATCTGGTGCTTCACCTGGTGGATGGTGCTCAAGCTAATCCCAGGGTCTCTGCACTGGGTAGGGAAAGATGCCGATCGAAACTGTTGTGGTTGCGGTTGTGCCATCCGTTTCCCTTCCACTCCTATGGAGGCGCGACCTCCGAGTCAGTCTGTTCAGGTCTTGCACACTCAAGGCAGTGGCTTCCTTCAGGGAGTCTGGGTGTCTCAGGTTTCGGGCGTCCTCCTTTCCTGCTGCCTTTGAACACTAACAACAGGGAGCTCAAAGATCGGGGGAATGACTCAGTGTAAGGCATTCTCCTGTGTTTAAGGCATGTAAACCCTCAAAGCGAAAAGCTTGGGCAGCTCCTAATCTAAGGATTTCCTGCCTTTTGTGATCAGAGGCTTAGTTTAGCATGCTTGACTGGTGTGTGTGTGTGTGTGTGTCTGTGTGTTTGTGGTTTCTTCAAAGAAAGTCATGTTATTAAGAGTTAGGATTTTAACAGGTGGAGGGAAAGAAGGAGACAGAGGGGGAGATCAGAAATTATTTCTGTCTGGGAATCGGTGGGGAGCTTCAGAGAAACTAAGGCAGAACCGAAGACTTTGCATTGTCTAAGCTGAATAAGATTCCCAACGCCGCACTGACATTGCAGGCGACTGAGCAGTCACTCGCTCTGTCTCCCATGAGCTTCTTAGAGAGATGGACGCTCGAGCAGGAACCACTGCTGGCGATAAGCAGCAGACGGTGGCCCGCTGTATCCCTTTTATTGTTATTCTTATTTACCATGTTTTAAAAACTTCTCAGAAATTAAATTGTGCAACGTCTGGAGCCAGAATACACAGGCTGAATCAACCAAGAGGTTAGCACACGTTAGAGAGGAATTTTGTCTGCTTAAGCTTTTTCAACATTGAACCGGAGACTAGCCCAGAGTTGGTCACGTTAGGAGTTATTGTGCCTGGACAAAGTTGTGTCTTGACCCAGAAGTCTTTACACTGCCTTCTAGGCCTCAGGGGGGAGCCCATTTTTTTTCCGACCCAGGATTTGTGCCTCCAAGGCAAAAAAACGAGATGAGTGTGCATTTTGTCCAGTCAAGGGTTCTGTGGTTCATGCCAAATGGGTCAACGAAAGCTAGTATCTTTTCCCTCTGAAAAGCAAAGCAGCAAACAGAATCAACAACCCCCCCCAAAAAAAAGGGATGGATTGATCCAAAAGATAGAAATAACCCATCCGGTGCTTCGGAGTTTGAAAAGGCCGCGCGACAAGCCAAAGAGCCATCATCGTTCCATTCTGCAGTTTACACGAATTTACACATAAACCACCTCCGTGAATGTGCAAGACCTTGTCCAAACTGACCAAAATCATTTCTCTGTCTCGCAGGTGAGAGAATCATTTGGTGGTTCCTTAGTCTCATACATGGGCAGGGGGTTCCCACTTTTAACTACCACCTCAACTGAAGCAACATTGGTAGCTGCCGCATCTTCTCCTACCTGCCCTGTGTCTCTCTTTGCGATAGGCTCTTTTCCCTTTGCTAAAACATAGACTGGAAGCTCATTGGGGCAGGGACCTGTAATCCATGGATGAGAGCTTGTGCGCAGTGAGGGAGGTATGCACACAACTGAAACAATGTTTTAAAGACTAATATATGTCCCCAATGGCATCCTTCTCCCTTTCTCCCCTTCCTCAGGTACATTGACAAGCCTCTACTCCTAGAGGGGAAAAAGTTTGACGTTCGCTCTTACCTCCTCATTGCCTGCACCGTACCCTACATGGTGTTCTTTGGTCATGGCTACGTCCGTCTCACGTGCCTCAACTACGACCCTAAGTCGGAAGACCTCACTTCTCATCTGACGAACCAGGTGAGGAAAAGGAGCAAAGGGAGGGAGGGAGGCCAGGCAGTTCTGTCCATCCGTCCGCCAAGACATGGCCCGTCGTAGCCCCCGTTCAGGCCCTGTCAGATACAAATACCCTCACTAGCCGAACTCATTGGATGGTCCCAGAGAGTTCTTCAGAAACGGTGCAAGAAAAGGGGAAGCCTGATACGGTAAAATAAAGCTGTTAAGCCACCTCAACATGATACGAAGAAAGGAGAAAGAGAGAGGGAAAGCAGGTGGGCTTCTACGAAATGCAGTGACATTAAGGAGAAATATTTCACATCTTGAAAAGGAAAGACAAGGCTGCCCTCCTATTTTCTGAATTCGTGACCCAGTCCTCCAGCCGATTTTTTATCTCAAAATATTTTCTGTGCAGTCCTTTCACAGAGGAGGTGGTGCCCGTTTTGCTCTCGAAAGGACAGGCACCAGGAAATAGGAATACTCCCGGATAAATAGGGGACAGCTGGAACATAGGAGATCTCCTCCCCTTACGCATTGTCTGTCTCCGGCATATGCCCCCGGCTGGCGATTGTCTCGTTTTTTCCTGGAGTCTAGTTGTTTGCTCAGTTCTGCGCGCCAGGCTGTCTTGGGGGGCCACAGGACGGCTCTTCACCACAAAAGATTCAAAGGAGGGCCAGGTGTTCCTATTCAAAGCCCCGGGATTACCTGTGACTCTATCGGGACTGGGCGGGGAAAGAGATGCTCACCTGAACAGCTGGCAGTGGAGACACTCCTCCTCCTCATTATACTCTGGCATTGTCTAATTTTGTGCTCTGTGCCCTAGGTTGGATAAACCCTCAGTTTTTCATATTTGGAAGTGGAAATCCACCGAATTTGAGGAAAAATAAGCCCTTTGTGTGTCACCCCGGGGGGGGGGGTTGTTTCCAAATAATAAACTTTTCTAGTCATCAATCTGAGTTTAAAAACAGCCACTGTATAACTTTGTAGAAGCTTGTTTCTGATGCAGAGTTTTGAATTTTGGTTACATTCCTCTAGCTGGGCAGCAGAAGTGCGGAGATTTACAGAGCAGAATTAGCTTCAAATTCTCCAGATGAATCCATTCTCATCAGCTCTGGCCCCCACAGTCTCAATAAATTCACTCTGACACAGTATTGGGGGGGGGAGGTTTCATTTACTTACAGTGAACAGGTAACAGCAAGCTAAAAACGTAACTGTGTTGAGCAACAGATCTTAGCAGATTACCGACGGTCAACAGAGACATGAAGAAACAGAGCAGGAAGGCAGGGCTGTTCTTTGAATCAAAGGTAGATGGGAACCATTGGTTAATGCTGGATAGACGGAGGGTCACTCCAGCCCAGAAAAGCCCCACCTAGCTGAACCTACTAAAGGTAGCATGCAAGATTGCAATAACTCCAACAGTTTCTGCATTATGTTCTGCTTTGTCCACTACCAATTTGACACTATATTCTTATTCTGTAAAGAACTTCTGAAAAGGGGAAACGCGTCCATGGGCTTATGCAAAAACAGGTACATTAGCAGACCCTTGTTCCCACAGCTAAAACAATGGATTCATGGCTTTTCCTCTATCTGTCCTCAGTATGTACAGAAGAAGAGTCCCATGTATTCGCATGTCAAGGAGGAGACGGTCTGGCAGATGGACCGCTTCAACACCTACGTCAACGAGAGGTTCAAGCAAGAGAAGGGTCTCCCCAAGGATTGGGTCTTCAATGGGTTTACAGTGAGTTTTCACACAGGACTACCCCCTTCTCTAAGCTGGTCTGATCATCAGACAGGTGGGGGAAAAATGGGAGTCAATAGTGAGAGCTCCCCATAGTCCTTCCTTAACACCTGTTGGGAGGACATATCCCTAAGCCAGTCTCCTCTCTCCGGTGGGAGAGATGATAATATCTTCTTAACAGGAATTGGGGTGTCTTTCCCTGGGAACATCCACCTGTGCCACCCAATCCTCACAGGCTATGCTCTTATGGGTTGCCCATACCAAGAGAGGTCAGGAAGACATCTACAAAACACTGGGCCTTCTCGGTGGTGGCCCCATCTCTATGGAATGGGCTCCTGATTGAGCTTTGCTTGGCCCCCTTCCTCCCAGCCTGAGTCCCAGGAATATGACCCTTCAGCTCTCCATTAGAACAGTGGTTCCCAACCTTGGATCTCAGATTAAAACCCCCAGAAGCCTTCTCCACTCACTGTGCTGGCCAGGATTTCTGGGAGTTGTAGTCCGAGAACATCTGGGAACCCAAGGTTGGGAGTCCCTGCTAGAGACCTGCGGAGAGTCGGAGTCCAGTGAATGGAGAGGACAGTTTTTTGTGGATTTCCGGAATGTTCCACCGCCTGCCTCCTCTCTTCGTCTTTCAGAGGAGAATGAAGGAGATCATGCTGCAGTGTTTCCTGGCGGTCAAGTCCAAGCTGGACTGCAAACTGGGCTACTTTGACCTGATCGGCTGTGACTTCTTGATCGATGAAGATTTTAAGGTACCGCCTTCATTTGATGAACACAAATCCCATTTTGCATGACAGAAGCTGTCCTGCCGAGGAGCTTCTTTGAAAACGCACCTGGTCCCTTTGAGCACCCACGAAAAGCTGATGCTTCCCTGCCAGATTCAGGATGTGATGAGCAAAATCCTAATATCACATAGCAGTGACTGAACCATTTGGGGGGCGGGGGCAGTGACTGAAACACAATCCTTGCTGTTCTTTAGGTAGGGTATGAATTGTCGGTGGAGAGACTCCCCCTTTTATAGAGGCTGGCATGCCTCTATGGTGAACGTAATTTCAGTATGGCGAGCCAGCGCTGTTTCGCTGTGGCTGCTTCCCGAGGGGCTAATTAAATGCTTTCCTTTCACCAAGTGATGCTCTGGAAGGCTAAGGATGCCCCTCCCCCATTACAAAAATCTATGACACACCGCAGGGGGGGGGGAAACAACAACACCAGATATTAAAAGGAAGATCCTGCAGTAATAATAACACAGGAACAAGGTCTTTTTCACAAATGTACCACGGGCTGTAATCCATTCCATAAATTTTCCTCAATCTGATGGTTGTCCAGATGTGCTGGACTACAACACCCCAGTATCTCTCTCCGTGATGGGCATTGTAGTCAAGCACCAGACTCCGTCGTCTGCTTTTTGATTCTGCTCATAATCCCCTGCACGGCGGAGAGGAAGTGCTGAGGTTTATTAAGAGAAAACTGGAAGACTTCTAGTGCCCCCTAGTGGGCAATCATAGAATAGTTTCATTCAAAGTATCTGATAGGCTTTTGAAGAACACATTGACCTTACAGACTTATTGGGGTTTTTTGAAAGCCAGTGTGGAGTAGCTGATAGAGTGGTGGGACACACACAAACCTGCTTATCCGGGACTGAGGCATCAAAAGCAGATGTTGTTTGACATAAAGGGAACTCTGATTTTGTAGAGGTGTGATCTACTCTGGGTTTTGATCTGAACTTTAATGGAAGCTCCACTGGTTTGGCATCATTCAGAGGTTCTGAGGTTTCCCCTAACTACAGCAAGACCCCAGGAAGGAACCCAAAATCCGGTTTTAATGAAATTGTTGGCTTTCATGACCCAAGGGGTAGACTCTTGATAACAAGGTGTGAATCTAAAGAAACAAAAATCTGTTTTTTTAAAATAGGTGTGGCTCTTGGAAATGAATGCGAATCCTGCTTTGCACACCAACTGTACCGCTTTGAAGAACATAATCCCCACAGTGGTGAACGAGACCCTCGGTGAGTAAAAAGAAGATCTCAAGAAAAAGCTAATGCTTGTAATGCCCAAATCACAAATGTCCTGGTTAAACAGATGGGTGCCTATCTGTGTCTCCAGAGAGGGGGGAGACTGGCAGTGTGGCCAGTGGCTATTCCCTCTGGGGGTCCCCTTGCATCCTTTAGCACCCGAGAGCCCCGTGTCTCTTGATTCAAACTTTTCAATTTTTTTAATTGCCCTTTGTTTTGGCCACGTTCTTCGGAGGGCTTAAAAGGAGGTCCGAAAGCGAATTGAATCATCCTCCACCGGTAATGGGTTCGAGGGATGTTTTATGTTTTAAAAAGTATGTGGGAGCAATGTGTATGGTTGTGAAGTGTGGAATAACCCTCCAAAATCTGCTGGGTGGACCTCCAGTTCTTGAGACCAGTTCTAGACGGAAAACATCATGGCCACCAAGGAAAATACCTCACCTCAATGAGTTCTCCCTGTATTTCCACTGGTGGTATGAGAGCTCCACCTCTCTCTCTGTGTATTTATTAATTATATGCCCTGTCCTGGCTGAATGTATTCCCCTGACTATATGTGCATTTTGACCGAATATGCGAGTTTTCATGACCTAGTGGCTGAAATCCTGTTGTCCAACTTATGAGGCCTAAGGCTGATGAGGTAATCGTGTGGTGCTTTTTCAGAAGTTAACATTTTTGACCCCCAAGGATTCCCTCAGAGATACCATTGAGGGCCACAGGATGGGGGAGGTCTTTCACTTCCAAATATCACCATTCCTGATAAAATCATCCCACCAGCGGGGACTTTGTGGAATTAAAAGCCATGGTGGCTGATGACCTCATCAGTCTTATGCAGCGTAGAGTTGTGCAACATGATTTTTTTCCCTAATTCTGTGTACTTTGTCCCAAATATGTACATGAGGATTTCCTAACTGTGTGTGTGTGTGTGTGCTCCTGTGTATTGTATTGTGTTTGCCTTTTTTGTTTGCCCCTAGCTATGTACGACGGTTTCCTTACTGTGTGTGTCTGTGGGGTGTGTGTTTTCTTGAATGGCTACTCTGACCATACCTTTGTTTCCTTGACTCTGTACATGTGTGTTTTCTCCTGATTGTGTGTTTTCCAACTGTTTGGATGTCACCCTCACTATATGTGTGTGTGTGTTTTCCTGAGAGTGTATATATGTGTTTTCTCCTTCCTCTGTGGCTATTCTCCTAATTCTCTATATGTGTTGACTTTACATGTGTGCATCATCATGACTCTCTGTCTCTCTGTGTGTCTGTGTGTGCTTCCACTGATTTTGCCTGTTTCCTGACTAGACATGTGTGTGTTTTCCTGTCTGTATGCATATGGAGTCCTGACGGGGTGTACGCACGTGTTTTCCAGATCTGGTGATCGAAATCTTTACTAAAATCCAAAAAGGTCAGACCGTTTTACCCCTGGAATCCTTGTGCCACTTTGCTCTTCTCTACAACGGGTCAACTTTGGATGGCGGATTGACCTGGCCCACCAAGAGCAGGACTTCCCTCCGTTCTCTGAGAAACCACCCCTCGCTTCCCGACACCACCGGGGGTGGCCCTGCCAGTTCCACCAGCACCGCCGGAAACCCCAACAGCATCGTCAGCCGCCGCCCAGCGGACAAGCAGCCGCCCAAAGCTTCTGAGAAGACGCCGAAGGGTGAACCCCCTGCTGTTCCTGAGGGGACATCCGTCGTACCCAACAAAGGAGCCCCTCGGAACCCCTTACCCATGCCGCAGATCCAGATCTCCATCATCCCCAGCCTCTCCTGTTGCCCCTCCGTAAAAGCCATCTTCCGGGGCAATCAAGTCTGTAACAGCGGCAACCAATATATCGTCAAAAATGCGCCGTCTAACTTGCCCGAGAGTCAGCCCAAAGCGGAGGGCGCCGATGACAAGACCAAAATGGATGGCGTTATCGTCGCTGGGGGTCTCTCCAAAGACAAGTCGTATGCCGCTTGGTTCCAGCAAACATTTGGGTCCAAATTGTCGTCGGCCCCCACTTCCAACGGATCCGGAGGGCCCTTGACCAGCTCCCAAATGGTCTCCCTCCACCTTCAGTCCAACCTCCCTCCCAGCCTCCCCGTCTTCCAGGAATTCCCCAAGCCTTTCCGACATCTCATGACTCACGCCAAGCCGTCGCCATCAACGGACAACACCAAAGTGGCGGTCGCCAGCCGGAGTTGCGGTGATTCGCTCCCAGAAGATAAAAAGATCTCCCGACGCAGCTCTTAAAATAAGATCGCCTGTGTATTTGAAAAGCCCTTGCCCTCTTTCCTATAAAGGACTCAAAGAAAGAAAGAAAAAGCCCTCATCTGTGATATATTTCAGCATTATTATTATTATTATTTTTAAAAATCAAATTGTGTGATTTAAAAGAAAAAGCTATTTTTAATAACTGCTAAGGCAAGAAAACACTGAATTGTGAGAAATGTGGATTCACAAATAGCTGATTTTGCTTGTCACCCATGCCTTTCTTGGAAATCTCAATACTGAGTTTGTTTATTCACATACAACTGTATATATATACACTATATCCATATCTATATCCCATTGTACAGTTGCACACAATGAAAACTGAAACACACCAGATTTGCCTCTCTTATCAGGTGGTATAGCCAGTGTGGTGCAATAGGGAGAGCATTGATTTTGGCCTTAGGAGTCCTGGATTCGAATCCCCTTTTGGCCGTGGAATGCTTGCTTGGTGGTGCCCCTGGATGAAACCATTCAATGAACTTCCCATGGATCTTAAGTTCCCCTTCAAGGTCACCATAAATGGGAAGCAGCTTGATGGCATAATAACAAAATTAGCAACCACCACTTAGCCAAAGGAAGAATTTATTTTTATTTATTTATTGTATTTATACCCCGCCTATCTAGTCATTTCGACCACTGTAGGCGAGAAGAATGGGGGACTAGAGGCCAGAATCCTATTGGGGTGCAACGTTATTGGCGTAAGTCTCATCGGCAAATCGCCACAAGGGGAAATGTTAGCAAATGTAAACATTTAATAAGCCATGTGACTCAATGTGCAATGCCAAACATCTATCCCGGTTTACTCACTTATGGTGATTTTTCCATTGTGATTTACACTGGTTCATGGTCTGTGCAAAAAACAGGATTTTTACCTGTTTGTTTTTTTTCCTCGTGTGTCATGTGGGACACACAACACACTCCCCTTAATCACATACCTTGAAGGCCTTGTTTGGCTCACTAGAAGTCCGTCCGGACTTGACAGCATGTAACAGCGGTGACCGTTTTGGAGAGAAGGCCGTCGATGGACGGAAAGAAAAGGAGGTTTAGAGAATTCCCCCAGCGGCCCACCACGTAACAAAGCCTTCATTCGGCAGGGTAATGAGCAGGTTGGTCTTCTCGTGTGGAGGGAAATCACCGGGGAAATGAGTCACACACGTCTCTGCCTGAAACATTTCAAGGAAACCAGCTTTCCTTCAACCCAAAGCTGTTTCCAGAAAGAGAAAGTCTCCTGCTGCCCATGAGCTCAGCCTACGCAGAAGACATCAGTTTCCACACACACCGCCAGCATTCACACAAACCACACGCCAGAGAGAAACCCAGGCAAAGCTGAAGGTTTATTGTTCTAATAAAAAAGTCTCGTTTTAGGTCTCACAAAGGAAATGCAGTTCAAAAGGCTGATTTAAAAATATATATATATTAGTAGCCGTACAGTGAGTCTTGTGAAGGGCCTGATGCTGGAGGCTCAACTTTCTTGAGATGAAAGCAGACCTTTACAGATGCATCACACAGCACAGGCGGAAAATTGAAGAGAAAAACAGAAAAACACCCTCAGGTTTCTGAGCGCGGATTCCCCCCTTCTACGCCCCAGTTTGAAGAGTTATATTGAAGGAATATGTACATATTCATATACTACTAGCTATATGTGTGTGTTTTCCCTCTAGCTACGAAGATATATATATATGTGTGTGTCTATTAACAAAAACATTGCAGGGAAATCCCACGAAAAGCACCAGACGCTGAGGTGCCTTGCATTCTCCTCTCCTTTGCTCATCTACAGGAGAAGGGGCTTCTCTAAAAGTGAAGAAAGCCTGCCTCTTTCCGGAAAGCACGGGCAGCCCTTTGCCAGGGGCAGTGTGCAAATCTCACTTCTTGTGTGAACTCTTGCCCCGGGTACCAAAAATTGCTAGTTATGGCTCTGCGCCCTACAGGTAACCATTATGATTGAGGACCAATTCCTGTTCTGACCTGTGAAATACCCAGAAAATCAAGAACAAGATTCGGAAAGCCAATTCATGCTTTCCACATGACCCCACCCAGGAGATGTTCCATGTTAGCTCCACCCCAACCCATCAGTCCAGACTCCGCCCTGCCCTCTGGCTCCGCCTCTTTTAGCTCCACCTCCCGTCTCGGCTCCGATGAACTAAGTATTAAGTTCCACCAAGATGGTCCACCTGTCTGTATATACACCCCTCTGCTCGCCAACCATGAAGATTCTGCTCGCCGCCTATGAAAAACCAAGGGGTGGATGATGGTGTACAGTCATACAACAAGTGGATGGAAGCTTTCCGCCAACTTTCCCCACCTGTCTTTTCTGGTAAACTATTTTTGTCTGCCCAACAGACTTAGGATCAAGCCCTCGCCGTCTTTGAGTGTTGAGTCCATGACACGAGAAAGACCAGCTTCTTGGGGAAGAGCCAACCTGCATGGTCGACGCATCTCTAGGACATGGTTCTCCTGCCCCACTTCAGAGGGCAATCAAGGCAGTTCAAGTCATCATCCAAGATGCGAAGGATCAAGAGATGACATTCGTTGCAGTGTGCGGTTATGTGGTTTCAGCCTACCCAACCATTTCGACGAGCCCTACTCCTCTTCCATTTTGCACCCTTGTTCTTCCTCTGGGAACTGGCAGCTGTAGGTGTCTTCACGGAGAAGCTGGGCTCCTAAGGGTTTCGGTTGGTTGGCAGATTCAGGTTCTGGAGGGCGAAAGGTGTGAAGAGTAAGCACGGGACAAAGGTGAGGTTCTATAGCTTACTTCACAGCTAAGGTTCCATGGACCACCTTAAGGAAAACTATAAGGGCGAGTTATAAGCCCACCTGGTTCAAGGGCTGCACATACCTGGAGCTGGTGAGTAAAAAAATGGGTGGGCCACTCTCTTCTCTCACTGTTTCATTGCCCTCTTTCTCCCTCCCTCCCTTCTCTGTGTCCCTATCTTCTCCGCCCAGTAGATCTGCTGATGGAGAGAGAGGTTACCCTCATTGGAAAATAGATAAATCTTCATTTTTCACCACCAGTCAGATTGGACATTATTCTTTTGATGGTGGGCTTTTAAACAGCTTTTCCATTAGCTTTTTTAAAATCATTGATTTTTTAAAATGTCATTTATTGTTCTTTTATTTGCATATGATTCTCCTCTTCTTGCAAGCCACCTTTGGTCCCCGGGCCAGGGAAAGGCAGCATAAAAAAAGGCAGGCAGGCAAAGAAACTTGGAAAGGAAAGAACTAAGGGAAGGTGATAGCGGTATACTGACCTTCGTCCAGAGGGAGTGTCTCCTTCTGCCTCCAAGTGCAAATAATCAAGATGGAAGTCAACAGCACAAGGACGAAAATGCCGGCTGCTGTCAGGACAGTCAAGATGGTGGTGACAGTGGACTCAGCAGCAGTGGCACAATCTAGTGACATAAAACCATTTGTTCAGAGGAGGGGGTGATATTGACAGAAAACAACAATATCCTGTGTTCATCAAGAAGAAGAGGAAGAGGAGAAATAGGAGGAGGAGGAAGAAGAAGAAGAAGAAGAAGAAAGAAGAGGAAGAAGAAGAGGAGGAGGAAGAAGATTTTGTTTGGGCAGAAGTGATGGTGTATGGGAAAACTGGACCGATTTCACAGTACCTTGGAATCAAATCCAGGTGTTTGCCCAGAAACAGTACATATCTCACTGCTGTGTGTTAAATTCTAACTCCCTCTTTGCTTCTTGTAAAAGCACCTGCTTCAATCTGGTTGTGGGCAAGATCCCGGAAACAAGGATGCAAATAAGACACTCCTAAAGTAGGAGTAGGACTTCTGTGACCGAAGTTTTTTCTGCAGTCACTTCAAGGTGCAACCAAATTACATGCTGGTTGACTCAGAGGCGCCACAAATGCAAAGACCGAGCATTACCAAAATATCTACCCTCACTTTTAAAAACTCCTTGGGACCTCCCCCCCCCCAAAAAAAATGCCTTGGGGAGTTTTATTACAGGCCTCAACAGAATCTGCAGCCCAGCCCCCTTCTTGTCAAAATTAATTGCTTGGTTTCCTTTTCTCGGTATGAACTGGAGAACTAAAGTATACAGATACCGGGTTGCGCAGCAACGGTTTCGGGTTCTTGGCCACACCGCACGTTATGAGTTCTGTTCCCCGGTCGGTGAGTTCGGAGCCCGAGTTTCTCGCAGCTACAAAGGAAGGAAGGAAGGAAAGACAGATTACAGTTGTGACATGAGCTTTGCGGTTAAGGCATGGAGTTTGTGGGAGAGCTTCTGCTTTGTAGGCAGGAGTTTGGTTTCAACGTGCAGGATGGTGGATCAAGGATCTGAATGGGTATGCGGCAGATTCCTATGCAAATCCCTCTTGAGGACTAGAATCACATATTTCACGTTTAAGTGACATGGCTCTTATATAAGCATAAACAAATTCCCAGGTTCGGTTCTTGCCCTATTCAGGCAGGGCTGTGGGAAAATGTCTGTTTGAAACCTACCAGAGCTGCTTTTAGCTGTAAAGCTAAAAGGAACAGGTCTTTTGTGAAGCTAATGGCTCTTAATTGTTCCTGCAAGACCAGACCATCCCCACATCGTTTCCCATCATTTGCAGCAAGCATAGCTGATGATACCACCGGGAATCCTGCAGAGTGGACCGCTAAGCTCAGAGGCAACAAGGATGTGTGAGGAAAGGCCAGGGGGCTGACATTATTGTCCCTGCTATTCAAGGCCAGCCCCAGATATTTGCTGCCTGAAGCAAATGGCCGGAGAGCACCCACCCCACATCCCATCAATAGAAACGAATTGATGCTACTTTGACCTTTGACCTTATGATGAAAACAGTCTGGCACTTTCTATGGGTCAATAGAAACAAATTGATGCTACTTTGACCTTGCTGATGATGAAAACAGTCTGGCACTTTCTATGGCGTCTTGGTTTCATGACACCACTGCATGGAACAGCTCATATAAGAGCTGGGATCCAGGCCAACACACCTCTGCATGGATGGGAATAACATGGTGTCCACCTTCCAGTGGCCTAGCTTGAAACCCCTTCTTTTGTAAATATGGGCGCATGCAAACAGCTCGACCAATCCCATGTTAAGGGGAATGCTTCTTTCCCACAATTGCAATGGTTTCCCTCCAGGCACACAGTTCCTTCAAAGCTCCATGCCCAAGCAGTTACAAATGAAGCCCACGCTTACTTTTCGATGGCCAATCACAAAACAAAAACAGGCTAGTTGGCTGCCTACAGAGTGGAAGAAGCTCAGGTTAAGATAAGTAGATGTCTTGTGTCTCTTAAGGCAGCTCTAATGATACGCTAAGCATGTTTTGTAGTTTGACTCTTAATGCAATCATTAAAAATAAAATAACATAAAGACTTACTCAGTCCAAGGAACACAACAGCCATTCTTGGTATCCAAGTACGTTCCATTAGGACACTGTTTGCAAGAATACCTGAAGTCTAAAGTCCCTAGAAAAGGAAAACAGGAGGAAATCAGCAAAGCTTGGGAAGTTACTTTTTAAAAGTAATTAGTCCTAGCTATCAGTCTTGGGATCCCCAACATAGCTGGTGACTGGTGTTGTTAGAAGTTTTTAAAAAGTAACTCTTTACTTCTCTGCAACATAGTTATTTTTGAGAAGAGCTTAGAAAAGTTACTCTTTTGGACTGCAGTCGACAGAATCCACCAGCCAGCGTGTTTACTCTGGTTTGTGTTTGGTTGACGTTTACCGTGCTGTAATTCTGGGGAGTACAGAGCAAAAAATGGTCGTCTTAAGCAAAGTTTTTTAGTTACTTTAGAAAGTGTGGTACGGCAAACATGTGATACAAAGCACAGTTTCTCTCCATCCAGGAGAAGGACTCAAGCCATAGGACTTGCAACATAAGTCACACAACTTAAGTCCAACGTGATTCAGACTCAGCTCGGTGGTGTAGTTTTCCCCCGTGACTCGCACTCGGCTCTCAACTCAGAACCCACTCACCCACCCACCCCTCCTTGCTTGCTTTTAATAGTGACTCAGACTCGGGACTTGGGACTCGAACCCAGCATAACCTGGAGAGCTCAAGGGTTGAGGTTTCTGGCTGCGGAGCCAGAGGTTGGGAGTTCGAATCCCCCCACTGGACCTCCTTGACAGGGGCTGGACTGGATGATCTTCGGGGTCCCTTCCAGCTCTGGTGTTCTAGGAATGATGAGGAGGATCCCCGCTCTCCATCCTCCTCCTCCTCCTCATGGGAACTAGCTGAGAAGGAGGGTTCCAGAGCCAAGGAAAAGTGGCTCGGGAGCCGAGTGAGAATCCTCACAGCACCTACAGAGCGACGCCGATCACCGACTCAGAGGCAGGTGAGGAGTTTACCTGAACAGAAGATTTCCTCTCCTTCCTGGCATTTGGGGAGCTTCCGACACTGTGTACACTGCTTGTCTGCACAACACTCTCCAAGACCACACGCTCCACATGAGTTGGGATGTCCCCCTGCCCATGAGAAAAGTGCATGTGAGATCTTAGGAACTGGAATGAGAAATGTTGATATTGTCTGCTCAAGCTGGTCACATGATTTTCAGCAGACTTTGGGGAAAGTAACTTTAAAAAAAAAAGTAGTAAGTCGCCATGAACAAAGTGATTTTCAAAGACCGGAACTCCCATCACTTTGTAGCCAGACTGAGGAAAGTTACTTTCTGGGACTACAGCTTCCAGAATCTTCCAACCAGCATAGTTATTTTTAAAAGTAACTCTTTACATTTAAAGTTCCTTTAGAGGAAGAGAACTTCCAGACTTCTGGAAGCAGCCATGCTAGCTAAGGGACTTGGGGAGACCGGATCCAAAAAAAAAAAAAGTAACTTCTCCAACTTCTGACTGCTCTCCAGCCTGATGCCCTGAACCCATTTCTCAATGTGTTTTAAGAACCGGAGGAAAACAGAGCAAAATGAGAAATATTTTCCTTGAGGTCAGAAACGACGGTACCAATTTTCGGGTTTTTAGTCACACAAACTCATAATGGAAACTGGGTTTGAAAAGATTGAGTAAAGGGCTCAGAATAGAGAGCAGGTTAGCCTCTTGACATGAGTCTTTTAAACTCTGCTGGACTACATATCCCATGTGTCTCAGGCTGTCCGGATCATAACTGGGATCTTGGAAGCTGTATTCTCGTAAAACACACATCCCTACCCAGTGGGCCCAGCCTAGCGTTAGAGTTTTCCCGGTAATTCCAACCACCCCTTGGAAAGAGAAGTCAGCTGGACTTCAGAACATGTACAGAGTGCCGTTCTCCTAACTTTCTGCTTAATCAGCCCCGCAGGCCTCCTAAAGGGGACTGAAGAGAGAGAGATCCACTCGCACCACCTCCCATGTCAGTACACTCACCTGTCAATAAAACAAAATAAAACGTGACACTCGAAACGTACCTTGAGGGCTCTGGACGCAGCAGATGGGCTCAACCTCCTTCTGGATGGTGACTCCTAACTTCATACAGAACCAGAAGGCTAAGAAACAAAACAGACAGCGGTCTGGCCGGGATGGAGAGGGACTTCCCATCATTGGTCTCCACTCTTCACTTCCTGCCCTCGTTTTACGTGGATCAAGGTCTCGCCACAAGCGGTCTCCCAACGTCTTGATTGGGTGCCAAGAACCGACGTTGCCGTGTCTCTCCGGCCCTTCTCGCCCAAACCTCTCTGCTTCACTTCTTCCTGCACATTTTGTAGCTTACCGCCCCCGCGTTCTTGAGGAACGTCACAGGGCTCCACTTCCTGTGCGTGACGTTCTGGAGATCTTCAACAGAATCTCTTAAAATAGCCTTTCTTGGCAACTGAAGCGAAAGTAGCTGAAGAGACACCATTGGGAAGCTCAAACCCCCCCATGGGCTGACCACGAGCGAAGGGGCTGAGATGTTTCAAAGAGATCTTCTTCAACCCGTGATCAAAGAGCTCATGGTCTGATCAAAGGCGTTGGGTGGCTTGGCCCATCTCCTCAGCCTCACCTCCTTCCCTTGGTGGCTTAGCAGAAGACGGTGGCCGTGGAGTGACACCCAAGGTGGCTGAAGGTGGGTGTGAGGAGATCAGCCTGAGTGACTCAGGGAGGAAACCCCTCATCCATCTCTCATTCAGCTTGAAGTATCTTGAGGTAACGTCTTTCCTAAAGATTGTTTGCAAGGCAAGGAACGGCTGGACGGCCTCTTTGTGCCTCTTTGACAGGAGCTGGACGTGATGTTCCAGAGGGTCCCTTCCAGCTCTGTCGCTCTAAGATGATGGTAGTGAAAAAGAGATATAAACATTCAGATATGGAGGGCTAACTTCTGTGGAGTTGTGGAACGCTTCCCGTGCTGACCAAATGCTGGAGGTGGAAAAAGAGATAAACCTTGGTAGAGCGGTTTCTACTATATTTTGCATTTTATTATACTCTACCTTCTTACAATTAAGAAATAAATATTTCTCCACCAGCCCTCTGAAAGTGCTATTATTGCAAATGTGACTTCTCATTTGGAGACCCAGTGTGGTGTAGTGGATAAAGTGGCACAGGGTGAATCCAAGAGGCCTGAGTTCGAATCTCCACCATGGAAGCTCACTGGGGGTGTGAACGGTCACACCACTCTCATACCCTGAAAGTCCCCCCCCCACAAGGAGGTACTGAGGAGAATGTAGATGGTGAGAAAGGGGTGCCATTATTTGGTCACACCACTCTCTTACCCTGAAAGTTCCCCCCCCCCACAAGGAGGTACCGAGGAGAACGTAGATGGTGAGAAAGGGGTGCCATTATTTTAAAGGTTGAGCCTTCCGTCACCGTTTCAAAGGCCAAAATGGGAGAGGGCTCAAAATGAGAAGGTTAAGCCACACCAAAGAGGCTACCATGCAATACAGTCACAAAAAGTCTATAAGGCACACCTGTAGCAACACCAGGGCCACTTACGCCCAGGCGTAGCTCACTCTCGGATTATGGAGAGAGTCAATTTTTGGACTACAAACTCCAGCATCCCCTAATGGCCAGGCAAGCTGAGGGTTTAGGAGAACGGTTGTCCTAAATTTTTTTTTCTTTTAAACAAACTTTTGCAAACCCATCCTTAACAGCCCATCCATCGCCGGTGACCTCCGGAAGCGAGGCTTTCTGATGGAAAGCCGTGGAAGAAGTTGGCCATCTAGTCACCCAACACAAGGAACTCTATGATCTGGCAGATGAGGTCCTTGCCTTTTATACCACAACAGAGGACTCCAGAACATTATACACTGTTTTTCTTTTCAGAAGCCCCCTTTGATTCTTCAACGAATCCAACGCCCAACCTCTGGCTCTGCAGACAAAGACCAAAACACTGAACAGCAAGCTTAAACCCACATCTACACATATGCTATTCCTAATGCAGGTACAATTTTACCTGTGTTAACACACTGACAGATTTTTAATGCCTCTAAAATAATCTTCAATCATCTGTGATGTGTTTTCTGTTTCCCTTTTTTTGCTGAATCAGGTAACCCTTAAGAAATAAAAATAATAAAAAAAGAAACCGCAACTCACAGTAACTAGAATTGAAACATTTAATTTCTCACGTTCTGCTTCAAGTATCTTCCTCTGGCCTGCTTGAGTCGGAAACCGAGTATCATGACACCGCATGAGACATGGGTGGCCAAAATTTCCCTGACTCTGCAAAAGGGCATCATCATCAGTGGCAGCATAGATAACATCTGGTCCAAAATTGTGAAATCTCAGCAATTGTTGGCCTCTGATCAGTCAGCGTGTTTATATATATATATATTGATGAGCACAAGAAAGCGTAAACCAACATCCGCTGAAATATACCACCGCAGTCTTGAATGAAGTCAGCTTTGTCTCGCTGCGTCCTGGCTCTTCTGCGGAGAGAAAAGCTACCATAAAGTTTGCAACGTATCTGAAATGTAAATGTCAGTCAGAGCTGGGGGGGGGGATCCCCTGCCTGGATGTTTATTATTGTTTTGTACCACCAAGGTCTGTCATTGGGGGTGTGGGGGTGTGTGCAACCAATGCTTTGCCCCAGGGTGCGAACATTTCAAGGGCACCGAAATCTGAAAAATGAATCTCCCGGTGAAAGTTAGGGACGTGTTAAAAAAAATAGCACCAGCTCCTGGCCTTCTTCAATTCTCCTTTTTTTTTGAAAGCATCACATTCTCCCCATTTTCTTGGGGATTATGCCCAAGAGTTAGGATGGGGTGAGCAAAAAACCGTTCTGGTTCTAAACACACACCCCTCAAAAATTATTATTTATAGCACTGTCTTTCATGAGCACAGATTTCAATCGAGAAAGACAGCTCCCTCTTCTGTTGCCCGTTGGTACTGCAGGCAATTTAATTTCACACCCACATGCGATCACCTCTACAAAAGCATTCATGATCTCTGTGCAGGATCATGACCGTCACCTAAGGCCCAGCCCCCAGATGGCACCCCTCCCAGTCCACATGCAAAACTGGACAAAGGGTTGAATCTTGATGCCACACTGGTGTGTGGCGAAGGGTGTGTTTTATCACCTGCAAAGATGGCTGACGAGTCCACAAGCCATACATACAACAAGCTGCCATCCTGGTAGAGATGGAACCAAAATTTTCTATTCCTTTTTGCTCTTATACCAAAAGTGAGAGAGGAGTTTTTCTGTCTCTAGAGACTCACTGGACACCCAGATTCAGAAGGCCTGGGTTCGAATCTCCGCCAAGCCATGGAAACTCACTGGTGGGGTGAGACGAAATAAAAGTGGAAAGAATTTTGGAGCAGAATTTGGAGTAATATAATTGAGTCAAAACTGAGAGAGATGCTTGGATCCTTGCTTCCCAGACTCAGCTGCTTGAGACTCCCGCCTCATTCTGCCCACTGGTAGAGCCGGCCCTCAGTTTTGGTGTCTTACTCAGCAGGACTGTTTAGGACACGATGCCCTTGAATGTTCTTACTCCCGACACTAGAGGGCAGAGAGTGAAAGAGGACGAGAATTGTAGGCCAATGAGGTCTAAAAGACAGACAGGACGAGGACAGAATACAGGTTCTTGATATGTTTAGGGATGAGATTTAAAAGCTGCCAAGTCAGTTCTGAGTGATGGCGACCTGCCTCTGGATTTGCAAGGCATCAAATGCTCAGAAAGGGTTTACCGTTTCCCTTCTTCTTCGGATGCTCTGGGACTGTGTCGCTTACCCAAGGTCACACAGGCCCCCAAGGGCCCCGGGGGGGGGGGGGAGAGGTCGGACTCCAGGTCCCTCACTCGGTATAGGCTTGAAGAAAACATTGTGACATGGGTCTGTTCTTTGCTGAACTCATCAATTCATGAACGGGGAGAAAAGTCCCCGGCTGACTCCCGAATTCCATTGACGTCTGCACCGCACAATATCTGTACACCTCTTGCGACAAGAAGAGAAAAAAACTCCACAACAGGAACTGCAAAGGTAAATTCCCTCCACTTCCTACAAGCACCATCATCAGCGGAGACAGTAAAGTAAGGAGACTCGGTTTGCTGCTATTTTCGGAGCTGCGTTAACAACCAGCCAGATCTTTCTCAAGAGGCAGGTCTTCCGCTGAGCTATTTTCAGAAAACGAGTAGGATGATGCCACATCTTTACATAAAACCCTCAACCCAGGAAGCGCATGGGCAACGGCTTCCTATCTGACGACAGCCCCTCGTGTAATTTGCATTTTGGGTCTCGGAATTCACCGCCACAACAAGAGTGCTGTAGATTTTATTCCATTCTGGCTTCTCTACAGGTGAATATACATTTTTATTTTTATTTTTTTTGCTATTTGACTAAGCCTCAGTTTTGCCTGGGCGTTTGGTTTTCACATTTTGGTGTTTATGTCTCTAGACGGGGAGCTAATGAAGGATTTTTGATTTAAAAAGAAAAAGAAAACAAAGAGGACAGAGTCTCAAAAAAATAATAATAATACAGGAGCAATAAAACATTACTCAGAAGTGCTTTGCCATTCCCTTCTTCTTGGGATGCTCTGGGACGGTGCAGCTGGCCCAAAGTCACCCAGGCTGGCTTTTCACAGACAAGGCACAGCATGGAATCAAGCTCCTGAGCCCTCACTCCGTATAGGCTTGGAGTTGTATAAGCTGGAAGCACCTTTCAGGGGAAAACGTTGCAGAAAAAGAATATCTCCATTTGCTGAAATATTGTATTTATTGATTTGATTTTGATATAGCCCATCTGGCTACCAGTTGGGCAGTTAAACCACATATCATTAAACAACGATGAAAACAAAGGGCATAATAGTATAAATCAAAATTAAGCATCAATATACCGACAGAATTTAACTAATAATAACTAGAGTGATTTAAAGAAAAAAACAAAAACAGGACAGCAGGATTGAAAATGTCTTCTGCAGAAAGGTGGAAGGCAAGATAGAGCTGAGTGTCATTCGCGTATTGACCTCCCATGACCTCCTTCTCATGAACTCCCCCAGAGGCCTCATTTTGATATTAAAAAGCATTGGGGAGATGATCGACCCCTGTGAGACTGCAGAACGGAGGGTCCAAGGGGTGCACGCCATCTCCCCGATCTGTACTCTCCGAGGACGGTCCTCCAGGAAGGATCGCAACCCGGCCAAAGCCAGGCCACCGATCCGCAACCCGGAGAGCCTCCCTCGAAGGATACCGTGGTCGGCGGGATGGAAGGACCAACAAGAACCTTCTGTTCTTATCTGTCGCCCTCAGAAGGTCATCTTGCAAATAGTAGAAGATTGGGCAAGAGGCTGTCCATGGAGTGGGAGGGGGATAACCTTCACACTTTCTCTGTGGCTGCTCCCAGACTTTGGAACTCCCTCCCACTGGCGGCCAGCCTGGCCCCATCTTTGCTCTCCTCCTGCAAGCAGGCCAAGACCTTTCTCTTCAGGCAGGCTTTCCCTCAATAACTAGCTACCTGTGTGTGGTTTTTAGATGGCTTGTTACGCATTACTGATTTGACTGGATTTTTAGTACTACTTGTGTTTTCCATTTTTTGGGTTTTCCATTGCTCAGATTGACATTTTTTTAAAAAAAATGTATACTTGTTGATCTTTGCCTTAATATTGCTGATTAATGACGTAAGATCCCTCCTTATTCATTGTTCATAGCTTTAAGTATTGCCTTTCAGCAACGTCAACTGCCGTTGTAGGCTCACTCTTTTCAGCTTTAAATATTGTCTTTCATGGTTCTAAGGTATCAACTGCCGTTGTAGGCTCACTGTTTTCAGTTTTAAATATTGTCTTTCATGGTTCTAAGGTCCTTTTCGATGAGAAAGCCAGGATAAGAATATTTTAAATAAAGAAATAAATGCTCACATTGTATTCTTGTTTTATAACAATATTTAAAATCTCAGCACTATGTTGATAGAAGGGACCCCGGAGATCATGTAGACTGGCCCCTGTCAAGGAGGCCCGGGGGGGGGAATCGAACTCCCTACCTCAGATGCATAAGCCACTGAGCCATTCAGCAGTTCTTTGGACTGTCTGGAATGGCACCTGCTTCTTTTATTTCAAAGCACCTAAAATAACAAGGTGCTGAACTGGCAACCACACACACACACACACACACACACACACACACAAGGAAGAACAGGGTCTCGTTCACTTCCTTATAACAGAGATGGATCAGGAAGTGGTGGAGCAAAGAAGGGAGAGACGGATGAAACAGGAGACATGGTCTACACTGGATTCATTTTGGCGCAGAAATTAAATCGTGTTGTTTTCTGGTCAATTCTGTGCTAGGCTGGCTTTGTGGTCCATCTGCTCTTCCTGGATCGGAATACGATAGCTATTTCTTCCATCTGCAAACAAGGAGGGGAGAACAATTCCATAGGTTATAGGCAGAGGAGAAGGCCAGAAGTACCCAACACGACTCCGTCAACTGGAAGCATTTCCTGGAACTTGCCTACATGACGGTCCTATGACTACAGCACCCAAAATCCCCTGGAAGCTCCACCCTTTGGATGAGAAGAGGAATCGGCAACCTGGCGGTCTACAGATACTTGGGTCTACACCACCAGCCCCATGATCCCCAGCCACTGGCCAGGCTGGCCGGGGACAATGGGAATTGTAGTCCAACAGGGTGTCCCACCACACCAGTTTTGGGCTGGGGAAGAGGTTGGCACACCCCAATTACTGGCCAGTGTTGAAAAAAGACCCTTTCCTAAACTGGCAAGACGCCTCCGTACAAATTCGGAAGACAAAAATTTGCCACATTTGCGCCAATTGAAAATGCCCAGAAAAATTTGCAAAATATTTTATCTTTGTGTGTTTCATGCCAGCCATAGGCCTACCTTCACGGGGAACATCTGAGAGCGCCCCCGGTCTTCTTTGAGACTTCTTGCCCCCAGCTTTCTGAAAATACAGCAATCCTACCCCTCCAGCTACGAACAGCATCACAGCAAGCACAACGACAACGATGAAGATGCCTAAAGGTCAAATGGGCGAGAGAAACCATGGGTGGCCACCACCTTTCTCAGGAAAAATATATATATATTGAAGTTTCTAGTCCTCATTGTTTTGAATGAAGGAGCGGCTTATCAGAGGAACCCAGGAAGTTCCACGGACTCCGCATGTGAACTGTGGCCTTTCCATAAAATGTAGAAAAGGTTCCGGTTCTCAGTAAAAGTCAGGTTTCAGCAGGAACAGAGGGAGGCGTTTCTTTCCAAATCAAGTCGCATAGTGCAGAATTGATGGCGCAGGGTGGCAGAACATTGCCGTGATGTTTAATCAGAAATTTCTTCCCCACTCAGCTGGATACGCTGGGATTTGAACCTGGTGCAGGAGGCCAATAGGACCATAACAGAGGAAACCAGACTCTTTGTCAAAAGGGAGTGAGCCCCGATTTTCCAAACATTTGCCTGGTCCCGATGGAAATCCATCTTCCTCTTCCCATTTATTCCACAGTGGAAAGCTCACGTACCAGTCTTTCCCCCTTACCTGATTTATCCGATGTCGTTTCCGTCTTTGGGTGAATGACCAAACTGATACCGTAAAACCTGGTGGGGGCTGCTGTCGTCCATGTGCTATGCTTGTCCTTGAAGCTGGTGGGAAGTGCGACAGTAGGAGAAGGTTCTGAAAGGCCAGAGGCTTGCTCCTCGCAGATGGTGTCCTCTTCCCGTTTCCCAGGACGGAGAAGTTTCAGGTCCTTAGCAGTGCAACTGCCGGCATAAGTGAAACAAGCAAACAAAGAGAGTATGTAAATATGTGCATGTGTGTAGAACCGGCTGGATAGCTCAGTGGGTTGAGGTCTCTGGCTGCAGAGGTTGGGAGTTTGATTCCTAGATGTGCCTCCAGGGAAAAGAGCCAGCCTGGGTAGCCTTGGGCAAGCTGCACCGTCCCAGAGCAGCTCCAGAAGAAGGGAATGGCAAACCGCTTCTGAGGAATAGCTCAGTAGTTGAGGCCTCTGGCTATGGAGCCAGAGGTTGGGATCGAGTCCCCCACTGGGCCTGCTGGGAGAAGAGCCAGCCTGGGTAGCCTTGGGCCAGCTGCACCGTCCCAGGGATCCCTCCCCCCCAAAGGAAGGAAAGACATTTCTTTGTATTCACTATCTAGAAAACCCTGAAAGGGGCTGTCATAAATGAAAATGGACTCGGCTGTGGCTTCATCATCATTATCATCATCATATTTGCAATGATTCCATCATGATCATTGGACAGAGAGATGCAGACCGTCTTCCTCTGTCCATAAATACATACTTTGTCCAAGGGCGACATTTCTCCTTCCCTCCTTTGGAAAAGGAACCAGCAGGACAGGGCTCACATCCTGAAAAGATTGATAAGGGATAGATTGTTACAGATTTCTTTAAAAGGAGGCAATCAACGTTATCAGCCTATACCGAGGAAGTTTGGCCTGATGTGTAAAATTCATGCCAACCAACTTATTCCTTCTCCAGATTTGAATCTGTTCTGGGCTAGTTTTCTAAGAATTATGTTTAGCAAGGGACAAAAATCTGCTCTTGTTTTATGTTGATTGTTTGAATGGATCCACTGTTAATGCCACTCCCATTTAGGGTTTGGAAAAGTTACTTTCCCTAAGATCCCCAGATCATCATCCTCTTAGAACTGCAGGGCTGGAAGGGACCCTCTGGATCCTCGGGTCCAGCCCCTGTCAAGGAGGCCCAGTGGGGAATTCGAACTCGCAACCCCCAGCTATGCAGCCAGATACCTAAGCTATTGAGCTATCCAGATGGCCATGCCAGTTGGGAGATTCAGGGAAATGTATCCTGAAGAAATCCAGGTTAAGCCCTCCCCCTGTTGATTAAAGCATGTTTGAGCACCTTTGAGACATGCATGCCAATCTTATTCAGCCATGTTTTAAACAGGTCACAGAGCAGTCTTCCTCAAAGAGTGTATTGGTTTCATACCTTGAAATGTATAGATTCCTACAAAGAGTATCTGTTCACATTTTTGTTCCAGAAGGCAGGGATGGAATAAATTTAGAGCTACTGTCAGTAGAAAAAAAAATTCTTGCACATCTTTAGCGCTATCTGCTGGAGGTGGGTTGCTGATCAGTGCCACTACTTAAGGGTTGAAAAGAAGAATTTCTATCTAGATAACTTCCCACCAGGAAGCGGAGGTGCTTCCCTCTGAATCGTGCTGATTGGCTAGCTGCCCTTATGGACAACATCTAATTTAGGGTTGAAAGAAGAATTTTTGTCTAGATAACTTCCCACCAGGAAGCGGAGATGCTTCCCTCTGAATCGTTGGCTAGCTGCCCTTATGGACAACATCTAGGGCAGGTAACCAATCAGCAACCGCATCCTTACACAAGCACGGTGAGATGTAGAGGGTTATTTTTGTTGCCCCCTAGAGTTGGTTATTGTTAAAGGCAGGAGTTGTCCTCCCAAGTAACATTATTCCATTGAGAAAGGCAGTGCTTGCCACTAATAATATCGATGACCAGCTACCACCAGCCTATCCCCTTCAGAAAGCTCCGTACTCACTTTTATCATCTTCTCTGCTTGCTTGGTTGGCTACTTCCTCATAACCCGGAAGACACATGCAATGTGTATTAGAAAGCCGATCGCATGGCTTCACCTCTTGGAGACCTCTCTCTGGGAAAAACATAAATGCACCCGAGAGAGAGAGAGAGAGAGAGAGAGAGAGAGAGAGAGAGAAGAAACAAGAGCTCTTGAGAAACCTGCTTTCCATTGACATAGTGACATCATAGGTATTGGTCAATGAGTCCTTTGCCTTGCAGAACAATCCATCTGATCAAGCTAATGGGCAAGAGTTAGCCTCTTTTCACGAAACAAAGCCAAAGGGGATGAGAAGAAGTGGATACTTTTGAAAATAAAAGAGATAAAAAGATAGATAATGAGCAAAGACCTTTTGGAAGTCTAGATTACTGCTGCAACTGGTAACATCCACAGTCATCCTGAGGCCGTGCAAGGAACCATCCTCTTTCTTTTGTGCCAAGAGCAAAGGCACTCAAACTTGGATGTCTGGAACTACAACTCCCAGAGCACCTGACCATTGGGCGTGCTAGTTCAGGATTCTGGGAGTTGCAGTCCAAGAACGTATGGGGCCCAAGATTGGGAGCCACCAAGTTTGAGGAACCGGGTTGCCTTGATCTAGGGTTTCCCCTCTTTTGCTTCTTTGTTTGCAAAGAAAAATCTTCCCCTGACCAACTTCCAGCCCCAGTGGTCAGAAACATGTCAGGATGTGACATTAACCTTCTGTTGTGGCAGTGAATTGCAGCTAGCTGACAAGGCGCTGACTGTTTTACCCATTCATGCCCAAACCAGCCCTTGAAATATTATATAATCTGACAACGCTAGACTAGACCAACTTCCAGCCCCAGTGGTCAGAAAAAACATGTCAGGACGTGACATTAACCTTCTGTTGTGGCGGCGAAGTGCAGCTAGCTGACAAGGCGCTGACTGTTTTACCCATTCATGCCCAAACGAGCCCTTGAAATATTTTATAATCTGACAATGCTAGACTACAGAAACACATTACTGTGGGGAAAACCTGTCTCTCTCCCCCCCCCCCAGTGATGGTGAGGTAGCAGCTCAGCTCAAAGAGAGCACAGAAGGCCAAAAAAAGAGAGAGAGCTAGAATAGTAGAGAGTGTTATCATAGTCCCTCCGAACCCAGAGGGCACTACAACATGAATTGACATTCATATTTTCCTAGCTTTGTTACTCCCTGTCCCCCGCATTCCAATAGCAGGTGGAAAAACCATCTGCACATGAGCAGAGGTAAAAAGGTGGTCTAGGTCCCTGATCCTGATTCGACCTTTGTTTGCTCAGTTGTGGTTGGTTCTAAGGAGACATTATAGACATTTGTTTTAAAAGACTACCGATCAGGTCCCTGATCCTGATTTGACCTTTGTTTGCTCAGTCGTGGTTGGCTTTAAGGAGACATTATAGACATTTGTTTTAAAAGGCAACTTCCCATGTTTTGCTCGCGACAAAAGGGGACTGGTACCTCTTTCACAGACTGCGCAACGTTTACACCGCTTCTCGGTGAAGTCCGCGTTGTAGGAGTGCTCTTCGCATGGAACGCATAACGTGTCATCCCGAAATGTGCAGCGTTTTTCCAGCTCAGACCCTAAATGTAAGAAAACAGCAGTGATTCATTTCTCGAGTCTACAACAAGGAAGGTGACCCAAAAATTGGATGAACTTATTTGGATGAAAGCTTGCATGACCACCAACACAAGCTGAAAGTTCATTGAGTTGGATGGCACAGCTGCAAAGCCAGGGGCCAAGAGTTCAAATCCAGCCAGATGTGTATGTTAATGTGCCCTTTGACAGCCTTGGGCAAGCTGCTCGGTGGTCCCAGAAGACCATTACAAGTGGTCCTGGTAAACCACAAACCACTTTTAAGTATTCAAGACCTAGGAAACTCTGGAAGGAAACTCTCATCATCACCATCAGTCAATTGCAGTGGAGACTACAGCCAAGAAATCAAAAGACTGAGACATGCAAGGAGAGATATGAAATAACTAGAAAGTCTTGAAGTATACAAACATGATGCTGGAGACCAAGGCCATGATCACTGATAATGTCCGTACCAATTACAATGTACAGATGTGAAAGCTGGACACGGAAGGACGAGTGGGGTATAAGGGCAGTCAATTCTTTTGAAATGTAGTGTTGGAGGAGGGCTGCACAGCCAGAAAGACAAATAAAAGGATGCTAGATCGAATCAAGCTTGCACTTTCTCTAGAGGGGAAAAAACAGTGAAGACAGGACTCACTGGAAGAGACCATAATGCTAAGAAAAGTTGAAGGCAGCAGGAAAAGAGGAAGCTCAAATATGAGATGGATTGACACTGTAAAGGAACCATAAGCTTGCATTTGCACAACCTGAGCAGTTAGCAATAGGACATTGGGGAGAGGGCATAAAATGATGCGATCCCCATAAATTGGAAGCCGCTCGGTCACTCGTAATGACAATTAACTTTTAAAGGCTCCCAAGGCAAGACGGAATAAATCACATGGACTCAGGTCGCTCAGCTGAAAGTGTTCCATCACAGAGCCCAGCCTTAAAAGTTTTGCAAAATTAACTCAGACCACTCCAGGATTTAATGAACATGCAATGGGGAACAGGCAGATCAAATTGGTTCCCGGCAGTTACAGGGTGTGTATGAGATGTGGTAGGTGAGTTGGCACCTTGTGCCCCTATCTTCACATGAATCACAACACCCGACAACCACACTGGGGAAGAAGGGGACGCTGTTCTTATCAAACAACCGCTACAGAAGGAAAAAGTGAGCGAGCTTCAGTGAGACGCTTGGAGAAAGGCTGAAGCAGACATGACTTCTGGTTTGTTTTTGTATCACTCCCCCCCAAATTGAGCACAATCATCATCATCATCATCATCCCCTCCAGCATGATCATGATTCAACATGGGCATGGCCTTGTTTTTGTATCACTCCCCCCCAAAATTGAGCACAATCATCATCATTATCATCCCCTCCAGCATGATCATCATTCAACATGGGCATGGCTGAAACTGGGAACCCTTAAGAAAGAAACTGAAGGCTTGATTTTTGCTGCCCACTTGGAATCGACGCGAAGAAAGCTGAGATCCAAGGAATTAGGGCTAAGAGCCAGGGTCGACTCTTCCGAGAAAAATATGAAACGGTGTCGCACCTCATCTGCGAATGTCCAAAGATTGCACAAACAAACTGCAAAGTTAGACATGACAGAGTGGCAAAATTAGTGCACTCGTCCTGAAACAAAAAAAATCCAACCTGTCAGCCTGCAAAAATCCATGGGAACATCCGTTAGAGGAGGTGTCTGAAAATGAGGGAGTCAAGAACCTGTGGGATTTCCAGATCCAAACAGACAGACACCTTGAACATAACAGACCAGGCACAGCAGCCATAGAACCAAGGAAGGTCTGGATCATTGACATGGCAATTCCAGGGGATGCCAGAGTTGAAAATAAAGAATTGGAAGAACTAACAAAATACAGAGACCTGGCCATCGAAACATCTCGCTCAGTGGTCCCCATCGTCATTGGGGCTTTGGGGAAAATACTGAGAAACTTCACAGAGTGCTGTAAGCGGTTGCAGATCTCAGAAATCACACCATCAGGGCTACACAAAACGACAATCTTTGGACCAACACACATACTGTGCCAATATTTAGCCGATACTCAGGTTTTGGGCTAAAATGTGCATTTGTTATATCATACGAGGACCAGTAGGGAACTCCCAGCCTCTGGTGCTGCAGCCCGAGATCTAAGCCATTGAGCTGTAGAATGCTGAATATACTCCTTTGCATCGAGAGAGCCAGAAGTAGAAATGAATAATGTAATTTAAGCCGAATCGTAATACATCCTGCTCAAGCTGAGAAGGTAATGCTGCATAAACTGCCTGCAAAATTCACTCAGCCACTCTCAAGAGTGGTTGAGCCTCTTCAAGGATCCAGAACTACCTCCTTCTAGTTTCCCCCCCCCACCTCTTTAAATCAGATTTAGATGGGGAGGGTCGTTAGACAGAGGACTCTTTCAATTGAAGGACTGGTCTCTCCCCAGTCTTTTAAACAGAGGACTATATTTGTACGGGAAAAGAGTTAGCCACTCTAGCGGTTGATGAGATATGATAGCATGGTGAAGGGAAAATTAAGATGCACAAGAGCTTAAATCCAGCCTGGTGATTTTTCACACAGGAGGCACAAGATAAGCACACAGGCATCTCCTCCCTGCCAGAAAAAAAATACAGTCGCAATAAAGTAAATTAACTCAGCAACTGCTGCCTTTTCATGAGACAAAAATCTGCTCCTCAAGGCAGCTGGCTCAGTCTGCCTAAGGAGAGAGGATGAAGAGATGGGGATCATTCGGACTTCTGAGGATGCTGGACTGCAACTCCCATCATCCCTTACCTTCAGGATGATGGGACTTGCAATCCAAGAACAGCGGGGAAGTGACACCTTCTTACTTCTGGGCTTTGCAGAAGGTTGGGAGTCACTGAGAAACCGTGGTGGAGAGGAACGGATCTCTCCATCATGCTGGAATTGTCTGCAGGGAGGGAAGGTATATATATTGCTCCCAATCTGCTTAGCTATCTGGCTGCTGAGCCAGAGGTTGGGAGTTCGATTCCCCTCCTATGCCTCTCAGAAGAGCCAGCCTGGGTACCCTCGGGCAAGTGGCAGAGTTCCAGGGTGCCCCTCCCCCGGAGGAAGGGGACGGGGAACCACTTCTGAATGCTCTGTGCCTCGGAAACCCTGGGAGTGCTTGCCATCACTCGGAACTGACTTGATCCCATAGAATGACTCTGATGCTTCTCCCGAGTCTTCCCTTGCAGCCCCTTTTTAGAAGGAACCTGATGGACATCCCAATTCAATCCCACTCACCTGGTGGACATTTCTTGCAGCATTTCCCGTGTCCCAAGGGGTACTGGTCGCGAGCACATCCCGACCCACGAGCCGTGCACCGCAGGAGCAGGGCGAAAGCCGCCGCGAGCACCAGCGTGGAGGCCATGCTCAGCTTTGCGGTGGCTGTTCCAAGCCCTACTCAGGTGGCGGTGTCACAGGGAAGGAAACGCCGTCATGCGCAAAGCACAACTTGTGGCTTGGGGAGTTCAGAGAAGCCTACGAAGCGTAGGCTCCTTTATTACTTCCCCCTCCTCCGACTTCATGGAACGGCCACAGTCAGCACTTCTGCCTCTCAGCACTAAGATCGGTGCCTGCTAATGCATCTTGGACCCAGACAGATGGCTGCCATGAGTCTGGTACCCCTCTTTTTGGGGGGGGGGACCAGCAACCTCTGGAATGCCTCCATCAGAGAAAAGAACCCTCCAAGCAAAACCCTGGTTGGACACCTTAGGGTCCTCCATTTGTTACCGGGCAGCCAGTGTTCATAGTGATCGCAAGAACGTAGATAAGTACCGAGGCTAAAAAGAGCCCCCCCCCTTTCCTATGGGGCTAGCAAGGCACTCCAGAGTCCATGTGCAGAACCTCCCGTGCAACCGGCAGGCTCAGAAACAACACGGCAGAAAAGCAACAGGACATAACAAAGGGGAAGGGAAATGTTATTTGACACCTCTTGGGCTTTCCTGAAGCAACTGGTCGGCCACTGCGTGAAACAGGCTCTTGGCCCGCAAAAGATCGGGCCGTCTGCTCACTGAACAAACCAGCCTCTCTCCATGGGTGAACACGAGGGACTGCCAAGTGGTTGAAGGGGGATAGTGGGAAGCACCCAGTTCATTTGCTTTACACTGAATAAAGCAAAGCAAAAAAGCAAAGTGTGCTGCCCCATAGCACTGAAAGCACTTTCTGGGGGGGGGGGTTTACAATCCCCCTGGCAAGCTGGGTACTCAGACCTCAGAAGGACAGAAGGCTGTCAATCATGAGCCGGTGGCCTCGGATTGAACCCTGGGTCCTGAGCAGAGTTTTGGCTGCAGTACTGCAGTTTAACCATCGAGCCAGGAGGCTCTTGATTAGCTTTACACTCTTCCCCTTGAAATCACGAGGGGTTGAAATTAGGACCTAGTTCTTGCAATGTGCCGTCAAGTCACCTCCGACTTATGGCAACCCCATGAATGAGTCATCTCCAAACTGTCCTGTCCTCAGTTGCCCCGTTTATATCTTGTCGATTCAAGCCTGTGGTTTCTTTTAGGAAGTCGGCCCATCTTGTATTGGGGCCTTCCTCTTTTCCTGTTGCCTTCCACTTTTCCCAGCATTATTGTCTTTTCCAGAGAATCCTGCCCTCTCATGATGTGTCCATCAATAGGACAGCCTCAGCTTTCATCTTTTCATCTCTAGAGAGAGTTCAGGCTTGATTCAATCTACGATCCACTCCTCTGTTCAGGCTTGATTCAATCTACGATCCACTTGTTCGTAGAGTATCCAGAAAGCTTTCCTCCAACACCACACATTACACAGGAATCCTTGCCCCTCCCAATCCGCTTTTTTCACTGTCCAGCTTTCACACCTATCCATGGGGATCAGAAACACAAGAGTGTGGATGATCTTGATCTTGGCCTCCACGGACCCATCCTTAAACTTAGGACCTTAATCATATACAAAATGTAAAGGGAGCAGGATCACACCTTACGCTGTCAGATTACTTATTCCTCCAGTCCAGTACTGCATCCACTGGATGGCAGGGAGGAACTTTCTCGCCACCGATGACTCACTCTTGGTTTTCAACAAGAACCACAACGGATGGAAGCTGAACCCATTTGCCTCCCTGTCAAAAATCTGCCTGAGACAAGCTTCCCGAAACACTTTATGCCCAAAGCCACCTTGATCAGACCTATTTAAACAGAACAGGAGGTCTATTCAATGAAAGCACACAGAGCCACCTCATTACATGTATTTACATTATATTAAGGAGGATAAAATCCATTCAGACACCGTCGGCGGTAGCGTTTAAAAGAACAGGGTTTCCTCGTAGAAGGGGTGAGGCCTGAATTAAATCCATTTAAATGAAATACAAGTGTCAGTGATCCCCAGCAAGCATAGCCAAATCCGACTCTCCAACAGGCAGGGGGAAATTCTTTCACGCTTGGGGCCTCTGCTCGAATACAACGGCAGTACGGTTTATATTCCAGATTTAAAACATTCCTTGCTAAAGAAGGACCCTAAGAAGGCAGTTCTACAGAAAAATGTGACCGCTGTCTGGCCTTCGTGCCGGCAAGGTTACTCTCCTAAAATGAACCGGGAAGGAGAGGAGTAAACTCGGCAGAGGAAAACATCTTGGTTTAAGATTGTTTTACGATCCTGTGCAAGTGGAGAACTGGAAGGAGAGCCGGCTTTATAGAAGCAAGCGGCAGGAGTCAGAATTGTTGCACGTGCCTGTACTCCCCTCTGGATCGCTTAAACCAGCGGTTCCCAACCTTGGGTAACCCAGACGTTCTTGGACTATGACTCCCCAGGAGCCTTCCCCGTTATCTGTGCTGCCTGGGATTTCTGGGAGTCGTAGTCCAAGAACGTCTGGGTTCCCCAAAGTTGGGAGCCACTGCTTTAGCGCATAAACCTGTTCCTATTCTTCTTGACAAGGAATAAAACAAGAGGAAGTCCATGCTACTTTTGACACTCCTATGACAACACCTGCTCCCCACACAGAAACCCCACAGCTTCTCCAGGTCTTCCTAGAAGGGTCAGGGGGACACAGCCGCAAAACCTCACCCGTCCTTGGGAGACACCCTTCTTTTCTTCCCAAATGTGGCTCTCTGAAAGGCCACAGCGCAACAGCGCTATTCCGAGGCAAAAGGGGACAGTTTTGGAAAGCGCACAGAGGAACCCTGGGGCGTTGGCAGGAGGGGAGGTAAAAGGAAATTCAGTTTTATGGCCTCAGGATGAAATCTGAGGAGAGAATCTCCAGGAGCGGGTTTTTTCAACTCTGCCCGATTACCCCTAGGAAGGCTTTCCTTCCTTGTAGGTCGATACAGACAAGTCACACCCCTGACTTTTCAATTTTCCAAAATGAAGCTGGAACTTCTGTTCTGGCAACCGAGTGCTCAGTCTGGAAACCGAATTCAAAGGCCAAATTGGGGGAACAGTTTTGTGAATGACTTCAAGATGCCCTCTTGCCTTGTGTCTCTCTCTGTGTGTGGATTCAAACATGCAGTCCACTAAATCCTCACACGTAAAAGAACAGTGGCAACAGCATACAAACTGCTTTAAAAACTGAATCCTTAGCAACACCCACGTTCTGAGAAATGCGAGCTAGGCTAGTTACTTTCATTGCCTTTTTGGCCCAGCTGGAACCAACATCTGCTTCCCCAACAACACAAATGCAAGGACCAACCGTTTGCTACAATTCTAGGTGCACACACAGCTCTCCTCCCTCCCAACCCTCCAGGACCAAGTGTCCAGTCTTAAGACAATAAAGATGGCTTTTAGAAGTCAACTGGAGGAGTTGAAGGGAGTAGATTGTCAGAAGGTTCGACTGAGACTCTTGAAAAGTTTGATGCGGGATCGGAAGGTCAACTGATAACAGATGCGTGTCTGGTTCATGCCCTGCTGGTCCTACGGAGTTCTCTTCAAGGACAGAAAGGCTGTGGCTGTTTCTTTCTTTAATATACAGTACATGGACGGTTTTTCGTTTTTCTTTAATTAAAAAAAAAACAAAGTCTAGAACCACACACGGCATTCGCACAGAACAAGAGAGATAGCAGCAAAAGGTAACTTTTCTGTGGTTTGTTTTGGAAAGCGAGAAGGTGCAACAAAGGGCCACGGGAAGGGTGGCCGGCAAGGACTCAGAATTCCTCGTGGACGTTCCGCGCATAGTCCATGAGCTTGCTGCCGGTGAAGTACTCGCTGTATTTCAGGATCTCTTCCAGCTCCAGGTGGTGGTTCTGGTTCTCGTCAGCAACCGCAATCATCTGCTTGGCTTCGTTCAAGGCGTTGTATTCGTTCATGGGGTCCATGTATTCCTGCAGAATTTGGGGAGGGGGGGAGAGAGAAAGGGTTGGAAAGGTGTGTGGAAATGTTCTAGATTGTATGACGAAAGCTACCAGCTAAGGGCCAGATCAAAAAGCCTAAAAATTTGGGTCACGAAAAGCAGACAACGAACCATCCAGAAAGATGGCTCTTGATGACGTTGACAAAGTTATCCATGAACGAGGGAGTGGACGAGAAGTAAGAGTATGACAAAAGATGTTGTCGTTGTTGTTTTAATGGCACTTTTAGATATTTAATGCTGGTCTCATCAAAGGTCAGCAGAAAAATGTGGGAAGCAGTTTTTCAAACAGTCTGGCACCAAGCTGCACAGGGTTTTATTAAATCATCATCACGTGATATCAAGTCAATTTGACTTATAATGGCACTTTTCAGAGTTTTCCAGGTAAAGAAGTGGTTTTGCCATTCCCTTCCTCTAGGGGGTGCCCTGGGACTGTGCAGCTTGCCCAAGGCCACCCAGGCTGGATGCTCTCCAAGAAGCACAAGGGAGGAATCGAACTCCCAACCTTTGGATCCACAGACAGAGACTTAAACCACCGAGCTATCCTTTTAGCTATGGCATTTAATAGCTGGGACTTTAAAAATGGATTTCGCCTGTTTTTATCTTCATACCAGTGCTGGCAGATTGTCTATTCTGAAGGCAAGTGGCTGGCCCAGGGCTATCTAGTATCTCTGGCTCTAAATGCGAGAACCAGCCAATGCAAAACAAAATAAGTGCTTTCTGCCTCTCAGGTGCTCTCTGTGCTGACCTTGCTTTGCAGCTGTAGAGTGCAGAAAGGGGAAAAAAAGCTGATTCAGACAAAAACGGTGGTTACTGAAGATTACTTCAGAATGGTAAAATGTAAAGATTAAATGTACAGTCAAAACTTGCTACAAGAAAGCCTCAACAGTCACTAATCTGATAAATGGTGCAGCTTTGGGGAAGTTGGGGAATCCAGACAGGTATGTGAAGGAGTGTTTACGATGCTTACAGATGGGCATGGAATTAAAAAAAATGGAGATGGGCACGAATTGGTTCGTGCCAGTTCATTTCTCAGCCAAATCGGTGTCCAGTGCTTCTAACCCCCTCCTTCTCCACTGGGCTCCCTCTCAGGGGGAGCAGCCTGGCTTCCCTGCTCCGTCTCCTCCGGGCACTGCCTTTGAGTGGATGCTCCTCGGAGGAGGCAGGGCTTCAAAGTGCCAGACACGTGTTTGGACAAGAAACGAACTGGCACAAACCAATTTTTGCCCATCTCGTTCCCCCCCCNCCCCCCCCCCAAAATTCCATGCCAATCTGTAAGCGTCGTAAACACTCCTTCAAATATCTATCTGAAGTTGATAAACGGCTTTCACGACATGGTGCAATAACGTTTTGTGGCTCTCAGAAGGAAAAAAAGGAAGAGCTAAGGCTGAACTCATCAGGAAATAAGAAGGCCAAATCTAGTTCTGATCCCCTGGTTGGATAATGCAGTGCGTGGGAGTTGGCAATGTCTCCTTTCATCTGTTATTTTCTCCCCACAGAAGCACACCTACCCAAATGTGCCTGAAAAACCTGGGATTGTGTGTGTGTTTTTAATGAGACTTTCCAGAAGAAAGGAAAGAAATGGAAAGGGTGTGGAAAATACAATGGTGTTTACACCAGGAGGAGTTTCAAAAGTGATTATAATTTGAAGTATACACTAGTGAGCTATACATTTGCAGTGCCTGTGGCTGGATGTTAAGACTGCTTGATAGCTCAGTGGTTTAGGTCTCAACTGTGGAGTCAGAAGTTGGGAGTTTGGTTCCCCCCGGGCCTCCTTGAGTGGGGCTGGGCTTTATGACCTCTAGGGTCCACTGCTGCAGTTCTATGATGACGCTGATGACATTTCTGAGACACTCACCTCTAATTCTTCCATCGTCACAATGCCATCGTGGTCGGCATCAATGACTTCCTCAAACTCCTTCTTCCGATCTTTCACCCAGTCATCATCAATGTCCTGGGCCTGCTGGTTCTCCACCGTGCCGACCGGCAGAGAAATAAACTCGGAAAGTGTCAGCTTCTTATCCCCATCTTGATCTGCAAGGGGGGGGGAAGAGGGGGACACTGTTTCTCTCTCTCTCTCAAAAACAAAGGAGGAAAAGAAAATGAAACGCCCACCCCACACATTTGAAACTTCTGCTGTTTCATGCAACTGTCTCACATGGGGGCGTTGCAGCTTGTGGTTCTCTGCAAGCCACCAACAAGATGAGGGAGATTCTTCACAGCTACAACCTTCCCTGTTGGAAAAAAACTCTTGGGAAATCCAAAAGCTTAGCTATACCTGAGCAAGGTAGGAATAAAAGGGGGGGGGAACCAAAGAGTGCTGCTTATATGCCGCCTCACAGGGCTTGAAGCACTCTCTGGGTAGTTTGTAATTGAATTATGCAGGCTACATATATTCCCCCCCCCCGGGGCGAGCTGGGTACTCAATTTACCAACCTCAGAAGGCTGGAAGGCTGAGTGAACCTTGAGCCAACTACCTGGGATGGAACCTGGGTCGTGGGCAGAGTTTTGGCTGCAGTACTGCAGTTTAACCACTGTGCCAAAAAGGTCCTTCAAAAAGTCAAAGGGGGCAAAATTCCTCACTCTTCCCCTTTTAGAGACTGCTTGGGGGGCAATGCTCAATTACATTTCTGGTGGCCCTTTGATTACTTGGGGTTGTTTTCTTTTCTCACAAGCATGAAATTCCGTCCAGGACACTAGGGGAGGTTTCAGACAGAGGTGAAAATCCAAAGAAAGGATGCTGTGGAAATGCCAGGAAGGCCTCCCCCGCCGGCTCACATCCATCAAGCAGCTAGAATCCCACCAAGTTTTCAGGAACATCACATTGTCCTGGGTTCTCCCAAAAGTCTGAAGCTTTGGCCAGGACTGAGGCAGCCTTGATGCCCCCAAAGGATGGGGCGAAAAGAAGAAAACAGAGTGCAGGAAGTAGCAAAGGATGCAGAAGAGATAAAAGCCAGCAAATGGAGCCATTGGTGGTTCTCGGCTGCCACCTGCTGGAGGCGGAAAGCCTCCAAAGAGGCACCCAAACAGCACAGTAAAGGCGACACTAAATGCCTTCTCACGGTTCCGATGACCAACGGTTTCCTGGAAGTGTCCGAAGCAGCCCCAAACAGCTGGAAAACACCAGTTGGCCAAACCGCTACCTCCTCCCACGAGGCTGCCCTGGGACTGGTAATATTGTCACATTGCACCTGCCCTGTGTAGTGGTGCTGGTGATCGGGGGGGGGGGGGATGAGAGATCTCACTCTCCCAACTGGCCAGCGAGGGCTGCTTGCTCTCTCAACCCCACTCTGTTTTTTTCACCCCATGCATCTGGAAACGTGGGGCCATCAAGACTGGGCTGCCTTTCCCTTTTCTAGGAAGGCCACCTCTCCGCCCCGGAAACCTGTTACAGGCCTCCTTCTAGGCTAAACCAGCCCTTCTTACTTTCTCGGCCCACGTATGAGGCTCCAAACATGAAGGGTGCTCCCTGTCTAGAACAGGTGTGGGCAACATCTGTTCTAGACAGGTGTTTTAGACAGGTGTTCCAGAAGGGCCATCCAGATGTTCATAGACTGTAAGTCTCACCTGGTTTCGCCAGCAGAGCCAACAGCATGGCTCATGGGTGGTGTAGCTCAACATTTGGAGGGCTCCCCCCCTCCAATGGTCTACTCCTGGCCTAGGACCCACCTCAGACATGATCCCTACGTTCTTTTTACCACAAGGATAACTCAATTGGCTTAGGTTTCTGGCTGCGGAGCCACAGGCTGGGAGCTGAGTTCCTCACTGTGCCTTCTTGAGAAAGGCTGGACTTGATGATCTACAGGATCCCTTCCAGCTCTATGGTTGTTAAGATTCTCAGTCTCCCAAGGGCCCTTCTCACAGACCGCCCCTTCCTACAGACAAGCCCTGGGTCTTGCCCCCAGTATGAGCTGCTTCCGCCAGCCATGCCAATACGTGTACAACTAAGCCCATCGTGCGTAGAGGAAGCTTTACGAATTTCTGCCCGCTTGCGGCAAGAGGCAGAACAGACGCACCCAAATCCCGGACGATCTCCTTGACCATAAATTTCAGCATCCCCCTGCTGTGCTCCGGATGAAGGAAGGACAGGAACTCTTCCTCGTTCAGCAAAAGGTCCGCGGGAGGATTGTCCGCTTGGTACCAGCGGTCCTTCAGGTTGTCGAGAACTTCCTGTGCTAAATATTGGGGTTGAAGAGAAGAGATGAAAAATAAAATAAAATAAACATATCCTTTGTAAGTCTAGGTTTAAAAAGTTTTAAACAAGCTTTTATTATTTATTAAAAAAATCAGCCTGTTCAATACAAACAATTCTAATTTCCAACATCTGGAGTCAATGGCATTCCAGTGAACAGACTGGCCGGAGATGAGCATTGTCCAGAATTTGAGCAAAGGTATTAATTTTCTCAAGACCTACTAAAACCACAATTCAGTGAAAAATGATATGTTACAAACTCGGCGCTTCTTATGTGTCTCTCTTCCTCTAGAATGACAGTGTATACTTTTAAACTGCCATTCCTAGTTAGTGCCTGAACTGGGGAGACCCCAGTTCCCTTAAACCAGGATCATGCCATTGTTTGTGATCCTGGCTTGCTATCAGAGCTACCGGTTCAATGCTGCCAACACAGGCAATGATAGGAAATGATGAGAGATGTAGCTCAGCGGCATTGAAACATTCCTCGTCGTCCCCTGGTTTACAGGGAATCAAAACAACGCCCGAGAATTAAGCACAGAACTAAGCTGGGTCTACAGATCCTTGTATGTGTGTGTTTGTGTGATATAGGGAGGAAAACAGTGTTCTCATCAGCAAGCACCACTTGCCTCCAAGCGGGGCTGATAAATGAACAACGGCAGAGGAAGGGGTGCAATATGGAAGCAGGAAGCCTCTCCATCCAACGCAGCCCGGCTCCTCCACAGTGGAGTGGTACCAGGCGGACAGATGGGCTGATCTGTCCCATATGGCGCATCACTCTCGACAGAGTGATTAAGACGGCATGTGCGTAATGCATACGGATGAGATTAAAGGGTTGCGTGGAACGTTTGACAGCCTCGTTGCAGATCAGAAGACACAACGTTCTTACAGAGGCATGCATGCGTCTTACCGGGGGGGGGCTGTGTTCAGCCACACCAGCGCCAAACTGAATGAAATTTTCCCCTCTTAAAATGTTTGCTTTGAACTACAGTACTTCTTGCAAGTGGCTGCAGTGATCATAACAAGCCTCGCATTTCAGAAAAACGCTGCATGTAGTTTGCTGGTCTTTATGGACACTTTCCTTCTTCTGCATGATTGAAACTGGGTCATGGTGGTATTCTGCAATCCTGCTGGAATATGTGTGTGTGTGCGCGCACGTGTGTGTGTTTGTGTGCATGTGTGTAGCCCAATTCTTGGCTGCAGAAACCAGTTTCCAGGGAACCTTGGCTTTTGTTTAGTAACAAAAAGGCAAGTTACTAGACCTTATGATGGCGAATAGATAGACAAGACGGCAAGGCCCAGAAAATTGTCACTGGAGAAGGCCGAAAAAAGGCAAAAAAACCCCAAAATGATAAAAAGTTGCACAAAAATGAAACAAAACTCCTTGTTTTGCATAACGAGTAGAGATGCTAAAAGTCAGCTTTCCTCAGCGCACTAGTTTGCAGATTTTATTTTCGAGGCTGTGGCTTTCATTGGAGCCCCTCCTGAAATCAACAGAGTTGTTACAGCATTGGAAAGCCTGGGTTTAAATCTCCTCCTCAGCCATGGAGGTAACTGGGGAGGCTTTGACTTGTCATTCAGACACCACTTGCCAGACTATGGTTTGCGCTAACCCTGGTTTAGAACTTAAACTATGGCTTGATCGTCAAAAGAGGCAAATCCAAGCTTAGAAGTGCCTGCCGATTTTGCTCTTTGTTCGCCATTTCAGGCAATGAAAGCAGATCGACACACACTTCGGCACAGCCCAGAGGGAAAGAGTCAGAGGCCGCCACTTACTTTCCTCATCAATCTTGAGCTCCTCGTTGTTTTTTATTTTCTCAGCCACCTCCTTCTCGTTCATACCTTTGCTTGCTAGAAACTTGATCTTATACTCATCCCAAGACACGTGACCTATAAAAGGGAGCAGCGACACAGGAACAGGCTCAGGAAACAGAGAGAGTTGAACATGCTTACATCTATCCATTTAATCTGTTATCTCATCAATACACCCAGCAAAGGCCTTGTGGTGCAGTGGTTACACTGCAGTACTGAGGTCGAGAGACTCTGCTTAGACCCTGAGTTCAATCCTGATTCAGGTAGCCAGCTCCAGGTTCACTCAGCCTTCCACCCTTCTGAGGTTGGTCACCAGGATGGGAGGGGGGGGCAATGTGTAGCCTGCTTAATTAAATTGTAAACCACCCAGAGAGTGCTTTAAGTGCTGTGGGGCAGTATATAAGTGACACACTTTGGCTTTGCTTTTATGTTTGATAACTCAAGATATATGCAAATTCTATTTTTCACAGCTAGCCTAAGGCTGGACATTTTCTGCCCTTCCCAAGCCAGTCTTTCTGCATCACTGCGAAGGCCATCCCCAGGAATTCCCACTTCAACCATTTCAAGGGAGAGGCACCTCCTCCAAGATGTTCACCAGAGCTGTCGGGATGAGAAATAACCCCCCTAAGGTCATCTGGTCCAAAAACCTGCCAAGACAGAAACCCCTCGGCTGGAGCATCTCTGACAAAAACAAACGATAATAAATAAAGGGCCACCCAAACTCTGCTCAAAGCTTCTAATGGGACTTGGAGGAAGAGGTGGTGGCGATGGAGGGCTTTTTCTTTGCCTGCCCGGAAGTCACATGACTTATATACATAGAGCTTACGCTCAGAGGCTGCTATCCAGCCATCCATGATTTGCTAAGCTGGGGTGGGCCAAATGCAACCATCCGAATGTTGCTGGAGTACAAGTCCTATCAGCCAGCTCCTACAGAGGCCACAGTAAGGAATGTGGGGAGATGCAAGTCCAAAAAACCCTTTAAGACCCCCGCTCTGCCCCCCTGGGCTAAGCCATGCTGTGACCGGAGACTGAACAGCTGCCGTTGACCCCCTTCCTACCATCCCCATCAGGATCCACTGCCCGGAAGTGCATCTTGTTCTCCTCCACTGCCTCCTGGAAGTGCTCTTCTGTCTTCTCCATGATCCACCGCTGCATCTCCTTCGCGCTGACCTTTTTGTCTCGGTTGATGTCCACTCTGTAGGTGAAAGGCAGGAGAAAGGTCTGGTCAGAGCCCAAAACTGCTCAGGACCTGCACCTCTAGGTCAACGCAGAGCAAATAGTGTTGGTGACAGTCTCTGCTTGGCTGCAAAGAATGCCAAGTAGCCTTGGATCGGGCCCCTCTCAGGCAGCAAAGGCAAGGGGACACTGGGAGGGAAGGAAGGTAGACCACTGCTCAGAGACAGGATATCTTTGTATCCTAAAAAGTGGCTGGTGGAATAAGCTTATGTTCAAAAACAAAATTAGCACCATATTCAAAAATCTGGAACATAATCACTACTGATCCATGGGTTTTAAAAACCACAAGCTACGGCTATGCAATAGAATTCATAACTCAGCCTCCTGCAGATCTTTTTCAGATAACAAACCCCATCTCAAGCATTAAAGGAGGCAGGCACTTCACAATGCAAGAGTTTCAGAAACATCGATACACAACGGACACCATTTTTGATACTTCACGCTACCAAAGAGGGATGGAGGCTTCCGTCCAATTTTAGACCTGAGAGGTAAACAAATATATTGTAATAATAATAGTAAAAAACCAAAACACATATGGTCATACTTCAAGCTACATTGCCTTTACTGAAGCTTGGGGGTTGGTTTGCTGCAACAGATTTAAAAGACATGTATTTCCACATTTCCATCCGGCAAGGACACCAAAGTTTCTTACATTTCATCAGAGCAGGAAAAATGTATCAGTACAAGGTGTTCCCGTCTGGGCTGTCAACAGCCCCCTTTCTTTTATAGCTGGATAGATTGAAGGATGATGGCCACTCAGGACCAAATACTAGTTTCCAGTTGCCCACTGAGGAGCTGTGAGCGATTTGGGCTTCAGCCACCCTGAAAAAACAGGGGCCTAAATCCTACCACTGTCCCAGACCTACTAAAACAATGGGATTTATGCAGCTTTGGACCTAACCCTTCAACAATATGGGGGAGGTGACGGCTCTTCCAGCTGCCCTGAGCAAAGAGCAGGCATTGGTCTTTTCCAGAGGCTTTCTCCCAGAAGCAGCGATTGGAAAGCTGATCAGAAATGTCAAACATGAAAACAAAACATCCAAGTGGGGTTTCAGAGACATCTCTAGGTCTGGAAAAGTGGGAGACCACTGGCACAGAAAATACAAAACGAGAGAGACCAATAACCTAAACTGGAATATGACAACCTCATATTCCAAGCTCTTGCCTGCCTGTCAGTTCTCGGCTCACTTAAGGTTGCCTGCCGTTTCCACTTGAAGCTGCTTACACTGCCTGAGATGCAATGGATAGTCCCCATTACCTGTTCCACAGCAGAGGGGAGAAAACCAGTGGCACAAAGACAAAGAAGCAACAATTTGATCCAAGAACAACCTTTTCTTCCCATAACCAGCTCTACAGCATGCTGGATGTTAACAGAACTCCATTTGTTGGACAATAACTTGACTGATCACACAGCAGTAAAATTGGCTACCCAGTCCTTTACACTTGCTTGAAGAACCAAAGTGGGTTAGAAAATTAAGAGCGAAATTTCAGCACCAAGCTCTTCCAAGGAAGAAGTATCTTGGTCCATGGCTCGGGAGAGAAAGCCCTTATCAGATCTCAACTCAATTTCCAAGGCATGCACCTTAAAATAACAACAACAAAATCCTTCACTTCTAAAGATCTCTGCTCAAATTTTCAGTCTCTGCCCCAAGAGAAGGCTACCGGCTGAATTTCTAAAGATCTCTGATCAAATTTTCAATCTCTGCCCCAAGAGAAGGCTACCGGCTGAAAGCACCCCTTGCCCTCTGCCTCTTATAATTTATTTGCAAGGTCAGGAGGGCGACAATCAAATTACTCGTAACTTGCCTCATTCCCTATAAATGGGAAGCATTAGAGGGGGCAATAAGTCACTAATCAGCCTCCAAAGGCATTAATCACATTCGCTATCCCACTTATGAGGGCTCACAAATGACATAAGTCACTAATCGGCCTCCAAGGGCATTAATCACATTCGCTATCCCACTTATCCACTACACACTTAATAATAAACCTTTTAATTTGCAGACAAGATGCCTGTGAGGTCAATACCAATCCAGTGTCTTTGCAGTCTGTAACCGCTATTCTCACGTCAAGCTGGGTGAGGGTCAGAATGAAACGGCACAGGGTTCATCTTCTTCATCATCATCTTAGACCTGCAGAGCTGGAAGAGGCCCTATGGATCACCCAGTCCAGCCTTTGCAGACAGAGACCTAAGCCAATGAGCTATATCATAGACACCATAATCGGCACTACTTTTCTCCTTCTAAACAGAGACAGATGTAAAGAATATCTTTGGGATGCACTCAGCCTGTGGTTGAACCACTCAGTCCATACACTTTTTAGCTAAAACCAGCTATGGGAGCTATCTTACGATTTCCCCCTCAACCCATTTCCACTTCTCACTTCTCCCCCTCTTACATAAGATGGGGGAAATGCCTCACTTTCTCTCATGGAAGGGCTACTGCTGATAGGTACAGAGGAAAAACAAACAAACAGAATTCTAGATTTAATCCTCATTGCCCATAGCATCTTCAGGGAAGATAATGTAAGAGTTGTGCTTCAAACCCTTACCAATGACTGGGAAACCTTTCGACTTTGTATTTGGGACTACAAATTCCAATACTTCCTCACCGTAAGTCATGCCGGCTTAAAGATTCTGAGACTTGGAAGTCCTAAACAACTGAAAGGACAAAAACTGCCCACTGATAGAGGAGGCCCCATCTGGGCCATCTCCGGAGATCCGGGGCTATACATGCCCATCCTCAGACCACTGAAGGTCACACCTAATTCCATGATGCTCACGGTTTAGACTGATTTTTTTAAAACTGAAATATGGAGTAGTGTGGGGTAACCCAAGGATGCTAAGGCCCTAAAACATGGCAAAATTAAGCCTAAACCCCTTCTAGTGATCTCAAGTATTTCTGAACCCACACTTTAAAAATATTTTTTAAAACTTGTGGGGTGTGGGGACACTGGAGGACACATTTATGCCCCTGTGGGACATGTTCCTCACCCTCAGGATGACTTGCTTCTATAAATGGCAGATTCCTACCATCCCTCAGCACCCCTGTCTTATTCACTTCCAAGCACTCCCAGCTGCTTTTAAGTCAAAATGAACTTGCTAAGGATGATATAATAGGGAGGCCCCTATCCACAGGATTGGTATTCACTGATTCAATTATCCACTGCCTGATAATACTAAATAAAACCCACAGAAATATGTATTTCCAGGGTATATTTACCAGAACTGGCCTCTACAAGCAACCAGAGACCATGCAATATACAGTGTTTGATGCTTCAGTAGCTTTCAGCATCCGCTGTAGGGGCTTGGAACCAATCCTCCGCACATACTGCAGTGCTACTGTACTCACTTGGAGAAAATAACCATGAGCTTCCTCCTGTTCCTCCGCGGCTCAGAATCCTCGTCAAATTCCTCCATCTCCTTCCCCAGAAAGACCTCCTGGTGGAATTCCTTGTTCAGGTGCCCATCCATTTCCATCTTGACCCCGTTCAAGTGATCCGGAGGCAGGATCTCGTTCTCGTCCTTGCTGCCATCGGCGGCCAACTTCTCCTTGAGCGCCGAGTTGTTGGCGGGCCGAGCGTAGACGTCCATCAGCAAGAAGACGAAGAGGAGGGATAAATAGATGGAGCCGAGGCTGCAGAGGAAGGCTCGCTTTGAAACCATGACTTTTTTTTAAATTCCTCCTCAAAGGGGCACCGGTTTAGAATACTGGCAAGGCAAGGCGAGTGAATGACCTGGAGGGGGAAATAAAAATAACATGTTATTTAAAAAGATACTTTCTGCAAACAGAAAAAAAAATTGCTCTGATCAGGTGCAATTTTTTTAATGAGCCCTAAGTATTTTAAGCCAACTTCCTCAAGTCAATCCCACTGATTCTTCCAGGCCATTTTTTCTCTCTAGAAAATTCATCTGAGAGCCTACCACCAAACTGAAAAATTCTAAAAAGCGGGGGAGGGGGGACCTATTGCATTAAAAGGAAGATTACAGAACAGAAGGACTCTCTGCACATGCTTAGAGGAACACTTCCAAACCCTTCTACCGACTGGTCCTGTTTGGACTGGGGGCCCTCTGCACACGGGCAGAGGGAGTTTTATTTAAAGCTCAGAATGCCACCCATTTCTGCCCTACGGAGAGGCCAACAACTCTTTCCACCTGTTTCCAGCAACCCTTAAAAAAACCCTCTTAAAAACTATAAATAAGTTATTAATAGACAGACAGACAGACAGATAGATAGATATCCAATCACAGACTTTCTGCTTTTAGCAGAAGCCTGCTGCACATCGTCAAGGGAAGGGTTTCAAACTTTAAAATCTCAGGCCTAGCCACACACACCCCCAACGACTGCCCTATATGGAGAAGAGCAGGGGATTCTGCACATGCTCAGAGGACCTCTTCCAAAACCTGACAGAAGCAGTAAACCACCCATTCCCCCTTCCCCGGCTGGGGCCAAAGGCGCTCTGCACATGGGCAGAGGGGCCACCCTAGCTCCCCCTGCCCCTATTCCTGTGCCCAGCTTAACCCCTCTGTGCGGTACCTGCCCGGTCGCTCCGCATACCCAGACCCGCCTGGCCGGGGAAGCACCAGGGCGACCGAGCTCCCAAGGCTGCCTACGCCGCCAGGCGGACCGGAAGCGGGAAACGCCACTCAGCATCGCTGGCGAAGGCGAGGCTCCGCCTCTTCCGCCCCTCCTCCAGGAGGGGCTGCCCCGAGTCCTGCCTCAAGGACCCTGCTCACGGTCGGCCTTTCAGCACCGCTGAGGCTCCCTTGCGCCTCTACCATGAAATTATAAATAAACCACTTTATATGTGGGTTTTTTTCCCCTGGTCATACAGCATGGGAAAAAGAAACAGGCGGCGCGTTCCTTAGTATAGTCTTAAAATAAAAGGCTCTCCACACAGAAGACATATTTGTTTAGGGCACGTGAGGCCCGGGCTGCCATCTTTACTTCGGTCAGAGAAGTTCATAATATTCTCTCTTACGGACTGAAGCGGAGACGACTGTTCATTGTTCTGTCGCGGCGTCGGCTGCCTATTTTAAATTTAAATCCCTCTCCTCAAATGTGTTCTTTCTCAGTACAAACACCCCGCAAAAGCCAGCTTAAGATAGCGCCCGAATCGGGGCTCTGGATAAACATGGGGAAAGCCGACGCCGGGCTTGAGGACAAGCGAACTCAAGCTGCGCCCTTATCCAAAATGGAAGTCGCGGCAGCTTCGAGTGCCCTGACGCAAAATGGCGGCTACAGAAGACGCTTTCTCTCCCCCTCCAGACCTCGGACGACCGCTTTTGGCTTCTTTGGCCCTAAGAAAATATGGCGGCTGGACAAGGGAAAGGCGGGCGGGAAGGCAGGGTCACGTGACGCCACAGCCTCCGCTCCCCCTCCCTCCCTCAGACGTTTCTATTCATTCCCATTCTCCCTCCACGTCGCCTGAGGAGAAGATGAGGATGATGACGCCGCCGGAGGAGCAGCAACGCTCGGCAGCGAGACCCTAATCTCCCCGCACCGCTTTCCTCGCCCGGCCTTGAAGGAAAGCCTTCGAGAGCGACGGAGGCGGGAAATGTGAGAAAGGGGGGGGAGGGCAAAAAAAACAAAACCAAACCACTCTGCAATTCTGTGAGGAAAGAAGACAATGGAACCGCCGCCGGAGGCGACTGTGGTGCGGCCGGAACGCGGTCTGAGGATGAGGAGGTCTGTCCCAAGCCGCCACCCGTAGCCGTTAAAAAAAACCCTGAGGGGAAACGAGGAAAAGGCGGGGCCCTGGCCTCGCGCCCGAGGCGGAGGGCGGGGCTAAGGACGCGGGGAGGAGCTTAGAGCGGTTACCCCCCCGTTACCCTTTAGTGACCGTTGTGGGAGGAGCCAAGGGGTGGGCGGGGCACAGGGCCTCGCGCTCGAGGGGGCGGGGCTAAGTCTTCAGGGAGGAGCTACAGAGCGGCCCCCTCAGGGGAGCCCAAGGGAAGGGTGAGGGGGGAGGAGGAGGAAGGTGGTGAGGGTGGGGGCTTCCTCCCAGGAGAGGAGGGAGGTGATTGGGTCTGCCTCCCTTAAAGGGGAGGAGCCAAAAGAGTGGGAGGAGCTCCCCTTGGGTGGGAGGAGCCTAGCCCTCATTCTTCCCGCCCTGAGGAAGGAAGGAAGGAAGGTGTGCAGCTGAGGGCCTCTGCAAGGGCCCGCAGGCCAGCCACCTCCCTAGGCAGAGGGGGGGTCCCCCTTCTTCCTTCCCAGCCCGGCCCACCCTCGCTGGGGCACCATGAAGCTCCTCCGCCTGCTGTGCCGCCACAAGACTGCCCTGGGCCTGGGCGGCCTCTCCCTCTTCGGGGTGGTGCTTCTCTACCTGGCCAAGTGCACCTCCGAAGGCCTCCGGCCGTCCCAGGGCGGGGGGCTGCCCCATCAGCAAGTGGCCCGGAGCCCCGGGGGGCTCCACCCTCCCGCCGCCGCCCCAGCCCCTGCTCCTGAGGAGACCGCCTTCCTGGCCGTCCTGGTGGCCAGCGGCCCCAAGTATACCGAGCGGCGCAGCATCATCCGGAGCACGTGGCTCTCGGCGGCCGGCCGGGCCCCCGGCGGGGACGTCTGGTTCCGCTTCGTGGTGGGCACCGGCGGCTTGACCGGGGAGGAGCTCCGCCCCTTGGAACTGGAGGAGAGCCGCCACCGGGACTTGCTGCTCCTGCCGGACCTCCGGGACTCCTACGAGAACTTGACCGCCAAGGTGCTGGCCATGTACGTCTGGCTGGACCAGCACCTGGACTTCCGGTTTGTCCTCAAGGTGGACGACGACACCTTCGTGCGCTTGGACGTCCTGGTGGAGGAGCTGCGGGCCAAGGAGCCGAGGCGCCTGTACTGGGGCTTCTTTTCTGGCCGCGGCCGCGTGAAATCGGGGGGCAAGTGGAAAGAGAACGCCTGGCTCCTTTGCGACTACTACTTGCCTTACGCCCTCGGAGGGGGCTACGTCCTCTCGGCCGACCTGGTGCGCTATTTGCACCTCAGCCGGGACTATCTCAACCTCTGGCAGAGCGAAGACGTCTCCTTGGGGGCCTGGCTCGCTCCGGTGGACGTCAAGAGGGTCCACGATCCGCGCTTCGACACGGAGTACAAGTCGCGCGGCTGCAGCAACAAGTACATTGTGACTCACAAGCAGAGCATCGAGGACATGCTGGAGAAGCACCAGACGCTCGCAAAAGAAGAGAAGCTTTGTAAAGAGGAGGTTAAGCTCCGGCTGTCTTACGTGTATGACTGGAGCGTGCCTCCCTCGCAGTGCTGCCAGAGGAAAGACGGCATCCCTTGAAGGGTGCATGGATCAGGGGGAAAGGGGCACCCATGGAGACGGACGTGTGTTACACTGAAATACTTCCCTCTGCGGCCAGAGGTTTCCGTTCCTCTGGGACTTCAGTTTGTCAGGACCCTACTGGATCACCACCACCACGGTCAAAAGGGGCCTCTGAAGACAAGACAGCATGGACTGAGGGAATGAAATTGTTCTATAGCTTCCTTACATTAATCCACCATTGGATGTGACAGGCCTTTGTGCCATCCCGTAGAACGGTGCTTCCCAACCTTATGGTTCCCCAGATGTTCTTGGACTACAACTCCCAGAAATCCTTTCCAGCACAGCAGGATTCTGGGAATTGTAGTCCATGTGGGAACCCAAGGTTGGGAGCCAGCAATCAAGAGAAGTGCTTCCCAACCTTGAGTCCTCAGATGTTCTTGGACTACAACTCCCAGAAATCCTGGCCGACATAGCAAGCAGTGAAGGCTTCTGGGAGTTGTAGTCCAAGAACATCTGCAAACCCAAGGTTGGGAACCACTACTATTGATTATAGAGAAAATAAAGTATCTAGTACTTCCTTGTTTTAAAAAATGCAACAGGACTTGGTAGTGTACCCCAGCGATTGATTATAGAGAAAATAAAGTATCTAGTACTTCCTGGTCTTAAAAAATGCAACAGGACTTGGGTCAATGGTGTTGGTAAGTCAGAATGAGGCCCAACGGGTTCCTCTTATTAGTGTACCCCATATTTCGTTTCTAAACTGTGTTTTAAAAAATGCAACAGGACTTGGTAGTGTACCCCATATTTCGTTTCTAAACTGGGAGAGCTGTTTTCTCTCACTGATAAGTGTGCCTCCTGGTAGAAGAGTGGGGGAAATAATTCACTTCCAGTGTAAAACATTTCGATCTATTAAGTGCGCCCAGTACTTGAAGGATTTGTGCTTCCCAGAGACAAATTTTCTGAGGACCCTCTTCATTACATCATCTGTTCATCCGAATCCTTTGGCAGCTCCTCAGAAACGGCTGTCTGCAAAAAACGATGTCTCGGTCTAATAGGATTTCGGCTTGAGATGCTGTGGCGACTGCGTTATCGGGTGTCAAGTGAAATGTCACCCACTTAAGTGGCCGCTTGAGTCGCTCACCAAGGCTGTATTTAGGAAGGGGGAATTATGCAGTTTTGAAGAGGGCCTAGCGGTGACTAACAATCAACCAGCCTTGAGTCTAGTATTTCATTATTAGTTCCCTTGTCTCAAGTAAATTAATTAAGAAACAGTGTCGCTGATTTGGAAAAGAATCAGAGTAACAACTCTTAAGAGTTGAGATGGGGAGCTTGCTTAGATTTATAAAGAATGCCTTCCCTCAAACCACCCCTCCCTTTTTCAGCAGATAGTGGGCTACTCCAGAGTAAATAAACTAAAAAACATTTTGCAGTTTTCTGTGGCAGTTGGGTTGCTTTCCCCAAAACCCACTTTCCCAAGCCTGTTGTTATTCTAATGTGCCATCAGGTTACCCCCAACATATGGCAAATGAGCAATTTTGTCTTCAACAGCCCTGCTTAGTTCTTACAAACTCCAGCCCCTGGCTTCCTTAGGGAATCAGTCCATCTTGTATTACACCTTTCCTCTTTTCCTGCTGCCTTCCACCTTTTCCAACATGATTGTCTTTTCCGGAGAATCCTGCCTTCCCATGATGTGCCCAAAGTAGGACAGCCTCCATTTCAGCATTTTTGCTTCCAGAGACAGTTGAGGCTTGATTTGATCTAGGACCCCACTGGTTCATTTTTCTGGCGGTCTAGGTTATCCAACTGCGTGGAAAGTCCCTTGAGGAACCTGGTTTAGCCCTCCCAAGGAAATATTATTGAGTGGTTTCATGCTGCGTCCCTCAGACAGCCATGGGGAAGATAACAGCAACCCATATCCTAGACATCACCTCTCATCAGCCGTAACCAGCATGCTGAATGGTGGGGGATGTTGGATGTTGTAGTCAAAGAACTTTTGGAGGGCTACTGACTCCTCATCTCTGCACTGCATTTAATGGCCTCTATTTGGAACATTAAAAAGTTCTGTAACAAGAAAAAATTGAAACCAAGGAGGGGGAAAATACTTGCAGATAAATGTAAATGTATTTAATTGCTTTATTTTGCAGACTTCCTTGAACAGATGGTGGCTGGTGGGGGGGGGGATAACAGTGGTATTCAGGTAATCTGAGACACATGAACAAGCTGCCTGCAGATAAGGTAACCCCAAGAATGGCTTCACTCCCAAATATAAATTGTAGACTCTCTATATATATCTCAGTGATTCTCAACCTTGGGTCACCCAGGTATTCTTGAATCTCAGTGGTTCTCAACCTTGGGTCATCCAGCTATTCTTGGACTGCCACTCCCAGAAGCCCTTACCACCAGCTGTGCTGCCTGGGGATTGTAGTCCAGGAACACCAGGGTTACCCAAGGTTGGGAACCAAAAATCTAAATAGAATAGGATCCCCAAGATGCTGAAAATTGTGGATTATACTGGAAGCTAATTTAACACCAAATGCTCTACATATCATGGTCTCTGGCTCCCTCTAGTGGCCAGTTCTCGTACCTATCTTTGGAAATATATATTTCTAGGATTTTTCTTTTAATATTTTTAGACTGGATAAGTTAAACAGTGGATACTGATCCTGCAGATAAGGGGGTCCTACTGTAATTCCTGGTGTGGAGAAAGCATACCACTTGTTCACTTCAGAGGCAGTGATGATAAGAGACTCACCCACCCTGCGATGGTGCAGCTGCATTTTCCAGGGCTGTTTAGATCTGGAAAATAGAAAACCAGGGTTATAGACTGCTCTGATTCAGTGGGCCATGTTGGGATGGGGATGATGGGAGTCTTACTCTCTGGAGGGCAGGAGCTTGAAGTACGTGCAAGAGGTGAGCTGGGCTCAGCGCTGTTTTCCAGCCATGGGACACAGCCTGTCCGATGGTTGATACCTCTTCCACCACCCTGGGAAGGTTTAAAAACAGGACAAATACTCCAGAAACGTTGCTCATGATTCAGTTTGCTCTGAGAAGCTGGTTTCTGAAGAAATTTGTTTTTAAAAATTGTCTGGATTTTTCCCCCCTGAAAGACATCAGTATTCTATGTAGAAAATTTATGTGTTTACAAGGCTGATGGTTTATTTATAAATGTTGTAAATGTCCTGTGTATAGTTGCAGCCTTGCAAATAGCTGAGTGTCGCGGTAATTTTAAATTATTTTTAAAAGAGCCTATTGAAGCTTGTAACGATTACTTATGAAAATGCCTTTTTTCCATTGTACAGTTGATTATTTAAATTCTCCGGGGCTCATTTTGAATCCCATGTACCTGCATGTATCTTGGGAGCTTGTGTTTTTTTTTAAGGATGCACCAAATGCACCATTTATTCAAAATATCAAGGTTTCCGAACGTCATTTCTACTGTCGCCTGCTTTCCTTTTTAAAACGAGGCCTCGCTGGACACACGCACACACAACCATTATCCTCGTGACTCCCCTGTGGTTATTGGATTTTAAGCTACCGAAGAAAGGGAAAGTTGCCAAATGCAATGTGGCAGTGGGAGACACACGTGAGCAGCGCTTCTGGCTGGAAGGCTTTTTCTAGAAAACCCTCAGCTACCTGAGCTCAAAAGATTAGAGGCGTCGTCATTTCGAGTAGATTTATGTGGATTTTGTAGCAGTAAAATTATGCAACACCGGGAGTTTTTGACTCACCTAGGAAACGCACCAGTTAAACATGTTAAATTTGTTAATGTATTACAATAGGGCCTTGCAGTCTGCTGAACACTTGCATACTGCCAACCAGGATAATAATAAAATAACAATAACCTTAAAACTGCAGATCTGGAAGGAACCTTTTGGATCATCAGATCCAGCCCCTGTCAAGGAGGCCCAATGGGGAATCAAACTCCCAACCTCTGGATCTGCCACGGATCTGTCTGGGATACTGGATGGCTGCATAGCTCACTGAGTTCCTCTATATCGTGCTGATCTTGCTAGAGAAGCTGGTTTCTCAGCAAGGACATAAAATTTCATTTTGTCAGCTGAGGTATGGCATGTTTGGTAAGAGAATCTGTAAGCCATACAGTGGTTTTCTCCCCCAACTTGGTACAGCACAGCGGAGCATGTATTCATGCCTCCGTTTTCATGGTATGCACGTTCTGGAAGGGATGTTGCTTTTAAAGTGCGTCTTTGGCAGCCAACAGACGAAGCCCCATTAAGATCCACCCGTGTTTTTCTTAATTATCTAGCAATTAGTAACAGCGATGGCTGCATTAGCCACTTCTTTTATCAATCTTCCTTACTGCAGAATCTAGCCAAGATTTGCTATTCTGCACCTGTGTGGTCAAGTATGTCAAACCGCCCTGTTGGTATGATTCTGTTATGGTGCTGAGCTTGCCAGATGTTTCTTAGTGACAACAAGATGCAACAGTGATGTTGTGAAAGCTGTTAGCTAGAAAATGATTATAGGATGTAATCTGTGCACACAGAAAATACATATACATGTACTAAACTGTCTCACTGCATACAGAGCATTCTGGATTAGGATGATGGTCAAAAGATCAATCATCAAAGTTACGAACATGAACAGTGGAGGACAGGAGGGCCTGGCGTGCTCTGGTCCATGGGGTCACGAAGAATCGGACACGACTAAATGACTAAACAACAACAACAAAAGATCAATCAAATATTGCCATTAACCTATGAAATGATTATCCAACAAGCAGAAAGCATTTTCCAATTCTTGATTTCATTCAGAAACCGTAATGCCAACACCTATTTCTCCTTCCTGTCTGGGTTGGATAAAAATATATTTTTTTAAAAAGTCAGATTGATTTCAATCAAGCAACCGGAATTTTTGGACAATTTTTTAAAAAAGAGACCGCTTCCCCAGATGTTCTCGGATTATGATGCTCAGAAATCTTGGCCAGCACAACTTGTGGTGAAGCCGTCGGGGTGTTTTAGTCCAGGAACATCTGCGTTACCCAAGAGGTTGGGAACCGTTGAACTAATTTGAGCTGGCCCCGGTGAATCTAACAGGATTAAGAACACTGATGTATATTACAGAGTGGTTGTAAGGATTACGGAGTGAATGCAAGCACGGAACTCTTTGCATGCTTAGACAAAGTGCGACGTAACACCAAGTATCTTTATTATTAAGTGATCCTCCCATGAATATACACACACACACACACACACAGAGAAGTCCAGGAACATCTGCGTTACCCAAGAGGTTGGGAACCGTTGAACTAATTTGAGCTGGCCCCGGTGAATCTAACAGGATTAAGAACGCTGATGTATATTACAGAGTGGTTATAAGGATTACGGAGTGAATGCAAGCACAGAAC